CCCGAGCGGCGGGTCACACGGCGCAAGAGCGGTGTCCTGTCACCGTCTGAGAAGTTCGCAGCACCAGCGGTACAGTTGACCAGCCCGTCTGTCTGCTGCACGCCCCGACCGGCCCGGCGGCGTCGATCGGCCGCCGCCCGCCACAAGCCACCCGCCGGCGCCCACGGTCTGGATCTTCTGACACCAGCGCGTGTCTGACCCACTCCCGCCGGAGCCGGCCCAGTCGGCTGCCGTCGCTCTCCCGTCGCAGATGGCTGGGTCAGCTGACACTCTGCCAGCTGACCCGGTGCAAAGCCACCGTGGGGGGCGGCCGACGCGTCCATGGCGCAGCCAGCGCGAGACATGCGACACCGAACGCGCCGGGATCTGCTGCGCCCCCGCCCCCCCCCCCCCCCCGCTGGATGAGGTCAGCGGGCGCGTGTACTGTGCGAGCGTCGGCGGCCATTGCTACAGTCATCATGAACGGTTGCAACGCTTCTCACCGGATGCAAGGCGTGAGCGACAACAAAGTCTGCACCCACACGAAGCCAACGCCCCAAACGTGCGGTCCCATTCGTAAGACGCCGGCGCCCCGGCCCACTGCAGCCCACGCCCGTCGCGGCGGCGTCCTGCGGTCACCGGCGCGGCCAACACGCACGGCGCCACGCGCCCACCGCCGGCCGGCCAGCCCCGTGCCTCTCCGCTGGGCACTCCGTATGTGTGCACGACGGTGTCCGCGGCGCCGCCGAGCCGTCCGAGCGGCAAGGCCGATGTCCACGTGCGGTCGGCGGAGGGGACGGGAGGGGGAGGGGCGTGGGCCGGGCCCGGCCGGCCCCGTGGCCAGGGCCGCACGTCGGCGGGTGCGCACGGCACCGTTCCGCGCCACGGCATGCATGATCGACGCCCGTAACGCACGTGCCCCCCCCCCCCCACGGCCACCGCCCGCCTGATGGCGTGTCGTCACGTCCGGGCTGACACACCACCCCACGTGGCGGCTGGAGCGCCCGATGCTCGGGCTCCGTCTGCGCACAGCCGGTCACCGCGGGCCGCACTGGACCCTGACCGCTTTGCTTTCGTCACTGTCTTGTTTCGTCGCAGCCTTTGACATGTAAGCTAAGCGGCCTTTCCGTCCTCGGTGGTATCGCGGGCCATATCACGAATGTAGTGCCGAATATCCACGACGTTTGGCGGTGTTCTCATGCTCACTCCGGCTTCACCAAGGTAGGGTCCGCGACGCCAGAAGAACGTGACCCTCGGGCTAGGACTACTAGCCGAGACAGCACCAATCTCACCAGCAATTCGTCAACGCTGACCATGTGAGCCTGTCGCAAACGGACTGCCGCCAGCCGTGCATAAGTGAGCGGCTGCACGCCCTGGCCACACCGCGCCGTGCCGCCGGCGGGCCGGGGCGCCGGCTCTCCTCACCACAGCGGATCGGCTCTGACGGGACGCCACTCAGAGCCGGCGGGCGGGCAAGGTGCCGCGACCCCTCGCGCCGGCCGCGCGCCGTTCCCACGGCCTGTGGCGGGGGGCGCCGCCTAGCCGTGCGAATCAGCGCCTTGACCCGCGGACCCAGCGCGACTCTGCTGGGGTCGCGCGCGCTCTCCAGCCGCGAGAGCGTCGCCGGGGGCGCGCCGGAGCCGGAGCCGGAGCCGGCCGTCCACCCATGCCCCGGCGTGCTACGCTGCGCTACGCTGCGCGGACCAGCCGAGGCCGAACTGAGCCGAGCGAACGGTCCAAGCCGGGGCACATTCACCGCGCCCGCCCCGTCGGGACGCGGCCGGTGCAGACTCAAATTGCCCTCCCTCGGACGGAAATCGACTTGGACGAAAATCGACTTGACTTTCGCCTTGAGAGAAACACCTGCGTCGGTTCTGTGTCAGGATGCCACAATATTTACGGGCGGACGACGCAACGTGCCTGGAATTAAGTAGACTTTATCTGTTTTTAGACGTTTTATTTAGAAACAGAACAGACATTGGGCCTGTGGATCAAACTGCATACAAACAAGATTACTATGTATGGAGTAACGTATAGCCCATATTGTTCCTTGGTATAAATCTGATCGCAAAATTCAATGGCGCCATCTTCACTACTGGATGCCAATTTTCAATCCCCTTCCAAAAATACCGGAGGGAGCACCCAGCTGACCTGATAAAAGGCAAGAGTGTGATTAAGGTGCGATTGAGGGGCTGGCGGGCGTCAGGTGCGGAAACCCGCAGAGTCTGACCCAGCTGAAGGCGGGTGCGCCGACCGCTCCACGGGCGGCGGGGCCGCGGTCGGGCCTGCCCCCTGTCCCCACGTAGTGCGGGCAAACCACTGCTTGAGTGGCCTGGCCTGCTCCAGGGCCGCAGTCGGGGCCTGGGCCCTGTCCCTGCGTGGTGCCGCCAAGCCACCGCCTGACTGACCTGGCGCAGTCCGGGCACGTCGTCCACCTGCTGGCCGTCGCCGCGCACCCAGACGACGCGCGGCTGAGGGAAGCCGCGCGCCGCGCATTCCACCACCGTGCCGGTCGAGTTGCTGAAGTCGATAGTGTTGGGCGGTTCCAGCACGAACACTGGACCCTGTCGAGTCATCTCAGCTGAGCCTGTCGGGGAAAAGCGTTTTGTTTGATTACACGTGTTCAGCGCCGCATGTAGGAAATACAAGGGACAGATATTAAGCGTCGAGTCAACCAGGTCGTCCATACGCAACCTCCACTTGCTCGCCGTTCACTTGTCACCCACATACGCCGAGCGGCAAACGTGACTCAGAACGCGCGCGCCAGCCAAGTTTCATGACACGGAAACAACCGAGCATCATGACTTTGTTACATGGCGTGCAACGTACGCTACTAGCCTCGATTAGTGGAAAGCATGCTGGGAACGACACTCACAACAATGCCATGCTTACAGATATACAAACAATCTCATCCGCGCATAATCCCCAGTAACTATCCCAAACACAAGTATGCTACGACGTTCGCCTTGTTCGCGTAAGCGCTCTCACTCGCAACACTGAATCCGTTGCGTCAGAGACCTACTAACTGCGTGAGAATAGGTCGCCTGTAATGGGTATGCCAAAACGGTTCACGAACCGAGCGGTCGCATCAATAACCAACAACGACGTTGCGCCGCCTCATCACGCAGGTAATTATTCGGCGCCGCCACCCGCGCAGGAAGCAGCGCGTTACGGAAGTCGGCACGCGCAGTCCGCAGATTCCGGTCGACTCTCCGCTTTTCTCGGTCTGACACATGCCGCCCAGTGCGGGCCGGCCGTCGGCCTCTCACTGATCCGCGGGCGCCGGCCGGCCCGCGCCTGCGCGCGCTCTGAGCACCTCAGGGCAGGCGGCCGGCCGTTTGCAGCATGAACATGTGACAGCAGCAATAGTGCGCCGAGAAGCTGAACCCTGGTTGTTGAACTATTCGTCGGTGGCTGCCGAGCAGTGCAGGAGCAGCCCAATTGTCGTCCCGCATGGGACACCTTCGAGCGCGAATAGTAACTGTGCATGAAAAATGGCCTCTCGTACTTTATTTTATCGAAAACGAGCAGAAAATTGCGATTACAAAACCAGCCATTTACTTCACCCAACTTGTGAATAACTGGAACAACGCGACTTTTGCGCTTTGCCATAGCACGTGACACTAGTGACAGCCGGTAACAAGGAGAATACGGGGAATACTAGAGGATAAGGAGAATACGACTATCGCGCACTTGCCTCGCACCCACTCGGCGATGAGTTCCAGGTGAACGCAAAAAGCTATGCTTGGTTCGCAGAACATAGCTTATGAATGGCAACACAACGAACAAAGGGCTGACAAAAAAAAAAAAAACGAAAAAACACCGATGCCATACAAATGTGCGGCCGATGCCGCGATTTCTCACTTACGTCGCTGACAGTGCGATCTTGGTAGGCTCAGACCTTTTAAATTACGTGGAATCGCTATAACGTATTTATAAATCAGTGATCCGTACAATTATTCCATCAAATTGTGACTTTGAAGGTGATGTCAAGCCTCATTTGTGATTTCCCGAACGCTGGAAATGCATATAAAACCCTTTGAATGAAATGCGCCGTTCAGGCAACATTCTCGTCAAAAGGTGACTCAACCGACAGCGACCCCTGGCAAGGTTCAACTTCTGGTGTTGATCTCATGTCCCACCCAGCTATCAAGAAGACAGCCCAGCCCAAAGCTGGAGCGGCTATAGCTCCAAACCTAAAACATCTGGTCAGTACCAATATCAGTTTTTCAGAGGAAAAAGCCTATTCATTGATGAGGGCATCCAACTTAGTGGAGCCCCAATCCGAACTATACCTACCGCGCTTTCCCGGCGATGCCGATCACCTGCTTCGTCCACAGCGCGGTATTTAATTGTCTTTTTCCCCACATGCCGCGAGTTCAACGAATTTTTAAATCAAAGCAACACAGGATTCCTCAGTGCGGTGCCTAAGTCGATGCAACTGCTGCTCCAGGAGTGCACCATCGCCGACAATATCTCCGCATGCCCTGCGCTATCTATAGCCGCTCCTGTCCGACACATGATCCAGTTCTCGACTTCTCCGAGAAATAGGCGGCGTTCGGCTGATGAGGCGCGGACCGTCGCGACGCCAGCCGGGGGTCGCCGGACGCAGTCGTCGCGCCGCGGCCCGCGCTGACCGATGGTCCCACGTCGGTCTGATCGATTATCCGGACACGGGAGGGAGGGGCGGGGGGGGGGGGGACACGTCGGTCTATCAAGGGCCGGGCCGACAATGGAGCTGGAGTGGGGCGCCGCTGGAGCCCGGTGTACCCCGCGTGCGGCGCGGCAGGCCGGCAGCCGCCCCGATCCTGCAGGGCCAAAGCGAAGCGGCGCTGAAGCCCGTACCCCGCGTGCAGCCAGGCCGGCAGTGACTGCCCAGAGGGTGCCATAAATACCACTTTCATCAGGCAAAAGGTCAGACGTTTTTATCGCAAGAGGAATACTGGGACATTTGTAACATTTCAAACATACTTTCATATCGAAACGCACTGCATCGCGCAACAGCTACTTTTCCGTCACGCTGTGAAAAACTGAGCACCGATGATAATTACGCAACACCTCTATCGATGCCTGCATACTCTCGCGCAGACGTCGATGATGTTCGGAGTTAACCAACATGTCAGCAGCAGGCCATGCCGCGCCTTCTCGGAACTGATCGCACCAGGTCGAAAATTTCACGTCGCCGTGATACACAGCACATAGTCCTTGGTGACGGTAAAATCGCCGCATCCGGTACTTCCACGTCGCCGCACCGTCCACTGTTTTAAACATGCCTGTAAAAACTGGAAAATGAGGATCGTTTAGCACCGTGCGTGTTCCCCTAACCCGAGCGGTAATACTACCCTGGCATATCCGGCCCTGTCTCCGTCGCATTATCCGCGCATGGTCAGAATGTGTTCCGCTGAGACGGCCTCCGCATCGGGCATGCGTGGAAAATCCATCATCACTCAGAAGGGATAGAAGTGAGGCAAGGTGGCATAGTCTGAACTGCCCGATGAATCTCACGCGGCTTTCTTCCTCTCAATTGCCTTTTCGTGGTTTGATTGTCACAAACCGGTCGCATACACCTCAGAGTGAATGGACCTAGGCAACAAGTGAAAGGCCACAACACAACTAGGTCAAAATGAGGCGGAGCACCGCGTCGAGACCGCGAAAAAGCTACCGACTATCATCGCGTCACTACGTAATTGGTCATCTGGCGCGGGAACGGCCAATCATCACGGCCCCAGCCGCAGTCAGAAATCACCCCAGTGCCGTACAATGGGAGGATGTGCCGACGTCGGCCCCTACCGCCAGGAACGGCGACGGCGGCCGGCTGATGGCCGTGTCAGACAGGCTGACCTGCGCGGAAGCGGGTGACCGGGTCGGCCGGCGGGCGGCACGCGCCCACGCTGGTCGGCCGGCCGCGGCGCCGACGCGACGCGACGCCGCCAGACCGGCTCCAGAGCGCCGGCCGCCGGCAGGGGCAGCGCGCCACCGGCCACGCCCCCGTCACATCGGCGTGACCCCGGCCGAGACTCCAGCAGACCTGTCTACTCCCAGCCCGGGGACCATGCCTAGCATTCGTTACGTCATGTTATAAGTGTCGTGTGCCAGGACGTCACCAAAGGCAGGCGGGGGTTTTTCATCCTTACGCCATGCGTTGGCCTCACACCCGACGCCTACGGCAAATCCACAGATTTAAAAGGAATGTTCCACATTTGGATATATTAAAGCAAACATCACACATGATGGAATAGCCCCATTTACTGATGTACTTTTAAGTGGAAAGGTTTGCTATCGACAACACGTTTTATCTGATTACTTAATATGTGATTATGTCATCGTAGTGCTCCACGAACGTCAGATATGAACGAATCGATAATTATGTTTGCTTTGGCCGTAATCGCCGAGTTGCTGATGGCCCTACAAGAATTTGAATGAGGTTATTATGGCGGCATGCCTTGCTTGAATGAATGACCTTGAACTAGTCTGCACGAAAAAGTCTGCACATCTTCACCGCCCGTTTAGCTCAGGAGCCAAACGCCGGTGAGTGTTAAGCAGAGCAAGGCGGCAAACTGCACCGGATGCTACTCAATGTGGCTATTCCAGTTAAAAAGAAACATACAAATGTGGAGCACTTGTTGAAATGGTTTGGGTTTTCACTTACCACCTGGCCGCTTCAACACCAGTTTGCCTCCCACACCAGAGGTAAGCTCCCCCCCCCCCCCCCCCCCCACCTGGCGTCAAATCCCGACGACGTTCCATGCGACGTCCAACCCACGGCAGGTCACTATCATTCTTGTACCCCACATGTATGGAGTAACTTTACATTGCTAGGCAACCAGGTGAGACAGCTTATCAGTCAACGGCATCTAGCACTGAGCGAGGTCGCCGGCCGGGCCTGTCGTAACCGAAAATGTTGCGCCCTCCACAACCTACCCAAGCCCGACCAGTCACGCGTCTGACAGGCCAATATCTCTCCGGCCACTGCGACACCACACATATTTCGGCAATAGGCACCATGGGTGAAATAGGCTATCATGATCTCGCGCTATCAATGGGAACGTAACACCGCAATATTTGGTTGAGCAAATGCATGTGGTCCTGATAAAATGGCCATTCAAATAACATCTTATAGACTAACGGGTCATACAAAAGGCTCCGGTAATATGCCTCGTCTCAAACCTTACTCGCTGACAGTTCCTTTGGTAGTCGAGGAACCTTTGGACACGCTCAGATCCTTTGGCTATCTGAGGTCGCTGGTTCTAGCGTGGCACGTCAATACTGTAGCCGGATTTATGGACTGCCGCAGGGACTCAGATGTACACGTCTTGGATGAAGCAGAAAATCCCTACCAAAGGTCAATTTTAAAAATTTGAGTTGAAAGGATAACGAGAAGTTCTGATTTTCCAAAGTGTTGGTCTTTCATAGTGCACCGAGCCCGTCTGTCCTACACCACTACGTCCAGACAATTGGACTATTTCGTGACCCCGATTGCCTCGGTGGGCCAAGACCATTTCCGACCGTCCTGACTGCACACTGGCCGGTTCACAGCGCCGACGCCCATCACGCGCCCCGGCCCACGTAACCGCCATGGACGCTTTCATGCTGTCCGCAGTCCGAACAGCGCCGGGATCATAAATGTTGCGCGACGATTCGTCTGTCTCGGGTCCCTTCATTGTTCGGAACACCTTCAGTCGTCTCGGAACATCTTGCTCGACCTGGGGCTCCACGGTCGCCGCGCACCTCCTGTTCTGGACTCTCAGCGCCCAGTGGCGATATAGCTGCCACTGTTTCGGTCGACGGGCCCAGTTTCTTGATCATCAGAGCCCCTGACATATCAGTCCACACACCAGCAATCTCCAGGCACCTTGGTCCCTCTGGGCTCTACTTCTCCCGAGTCATGTCGCCCTATCAGGACGCTTTACAACCGCGCAGCTTCTCGAGTGTTGACGGATCCGGACCATGCTGCTTTCCGATTGCTTAATCAGACATCTGTACTTGCGTTCGATGGCTTAAATATTCTATCATAGAATGTATAAACGTCATTCTAGCGTGGCATCGAGGCTAAGAGGTAAACACACGGCAAACCTCGTAACAACATGACATGCTATCAGGCATTTATGAATAGGATCGCCTTCCCCGTATAAATGCTGTAACTGATCACATGCTGCAGATGGAGATTCGTAACGCCTTCGCAAATGGCACGAATACGAGACATATCAGACATGGGTTGGTGAAGATTCCTCAAAAAGAGACCTTTTGCATTTTCAGGCTAGTAAAGAACTCGAGACGACGCTTCACTTTGGGTGTATAAGGAGCTCGTGACTATTACAACCCCGTAACTTACCGGAGTCCTCGATACTGCTAGCTACAATGCCTTTAGTTTGGGAAACACAAAAAAATTGAGGGCACTGCTCTCCCCTCTCCCTTGGTGTTGCACTGCGCCTGGACAACCTAGGCTTGGGGTACCAACTGATCCAGGCCCAGTGTTACATGCTACCTATAGGACAAACTTGTAGTTATGAAAAGGAAAGGATGTGGAGTCACCTCTGCCTGGGTTAAGGCAACCTCTGCACCTCTATCTGCAATTGCAAGTAATGTACATCAAACATAAGTTCCATCTTTTCCTGGAAGCTGGACAACAAATCAACAAAAAACCCAAAGGCAGCATTTCATGCCTTGCAAATCTTGAGCAAATACAAATTGCTTTTTGCATGTTGCTAACCGCTCCTAGTGGGAAAATAGCCAGAAGGAAGGCAAATGGGTTGGCTGTCACCTTCATTTAGAAATTGGCTGTAAAAGACCCTCCCAGCCTTGTCTTACTTAGTGGACCTTTTTTGTTCTTGAAAAATTGAAATGTATCAATGATGAATGTGCTTCCACAATGTTTCAGAAACATCCAGAGCCCTGGGTCAGCCAGGCATCTCTGATTGTCTGAAATAAGGCCAATGCTCAAGGGTGGGAGAAATTCAGAAAGAAAGAAAATCTGGGTAACCTGCATACAACCATCAAACCAGTTCAGGCGGCCAAAAACTGATACAATTTTGGGTTTCCTTCATGGAAATATCTTGGCTACATACACACCTGATCTGTGGTGTTCCAGACTAAAATACTGCCACAATATAATTCTACCACCAAGAGGTGTACTTTTATTTTCGGTAGGAAGGGTATCAGCCCCCCTCCCTCTTTTTCCCCATTCCAGTTGCAACTGAACCCCCTAATTTGAGAGGGAAGTAGGCTAAATCTTGTGCCAAACTATTTTGAGGCATATTTATAGAGTCTGTCTTGTGAATTTCCACTGTTCAGCCCTATCAACTGACCACTATGCTACATTCCTTGTGCCCCCTTACACTTACTTGGCGCTTGGCGCAAATTAAACCAAAAACTAAGAACATTATAGTCTACAGACAAAATATCTAACAAAATACTTCTGACAAATTACTTCAGCACACAACATTCAACTCAGCCTGTCTGTAAAACCAAAACCATGTTTGATTTGCCTGAATTTAACAACTTTCAAATATATTTAAGGATGCCCTTTCTCTCAGGCTTAGGGAAATCCTCCCATGTAGTCCCACTGACAATCCGCTTCAATATTTTTGTTGGCAGGCACCTGCCAACATGGACCAAAATTAGTGTCTTAATTGCTGATGGAGGGAGTAGAATGCATGGACCACATGCAAAAGAAGCCGCATTTTAACCAAGTGTCATCCTCTGTATACAAACATGCATAAGTCAAGCTATTTCCCTGGCAGACAAGTGCACGGGTGGGTACTTACCAAGGCTCAGTAGGGAAAATAGCCCCAAAAGGGACCATTCCATGAAGAGGAGTCCCATGCCTGGGGACGCTGCAGATTCTTGGAGAAACTGACGATGGCGTTATCTTGGGAGAAGAGTGAAAAATGAGCACTACCTCGATTAAAAGCAACAGAATATATCGCAACACTGGGATCGAAAACAAACACCTTATCACGCACTAAACGCAGGCACTAGATTCACGAGGTTGGCACTAAACCCACTTCCACACTAGAATCACGAGAACTCCTGTCACGACTCGCCACAAACGTTGAAGTCGGGATCGAGAATGACACCGAAATCCAAGAATGCTCTGCCCTCACGGGAACGCCCACGCCACACAGCACTAACCGAGTATCGCACAAATAAGCAGTGCCTCCCCACGCAACCACCCCAACTCCACGAATGGGAGCCCGATCTCGCAAACGGCTTCGCCCCGTTCGCTAGACGCCGTTGTCTGGTATAGTGGTGAAAGTAAACAAAACCTTTCTCACAAGTACCTTTTACTTGTAATACTTTACGCAAAATATTACAGTATTTTGAGTCTTCTGTGGTACAAAATATTATAAGGTTCTCGAAAATTCCCCCAAAATATTTTTCTTAAACTTTGACAGGTGTATTTGTAAAAAAGATGCCTCAAAGCTATTAGTACTATAAAAGTAATGTGATCAGTATTTGGCCAGAGCTTGCGTTGATTTTGACTCTGGTGCGCCAGAAATAACGAGAGAAGGCGTCTGCTAGAAACCGCATACCACAGTCGGGAGCGTCGTCAAAATAGAAGTGAGTAGTGTCCCGTAGGCTCCTAAATCGCGTAGTTTTGATGTCAGCCGGTGCATACCGACAGTAAGCATTGGTTTGGACGCTCAGTAGCCTATTCTAAGAGCTCTCAAGCTATCGTTGGTGAGTGCTAGTAGGTGACCTTTGCCCCATGTCGGCACGTTTGTAAATAATATTAGTGGGCGGTTACAGTTGGCCTGGGGTTGAATCTGAATTCCGTGTGAAGTGCACTGATGGATGGAAGCAATACGCGTTTTCGGAGTTATTTTCAGCATAGTTGGGGTACTTGCCCAGCCCATCATTTGTTTTGACAGTCTGGTTTGCCAACAGTGACATCAGTGTTGTTTTGCCAGTAGTTACATTGTAGTGTTCATCTGGGGAAGCTACAGTGATTCCTGGGGGCAACACCTTTAACACAGCCCCTGTCAGATCCTGTGGAAATCTGCAAAGGCTTGCAGGTCGGGCAGGAGCAATCGGTGGTATGCCATGTATAGGCCAATTGTACCTATCACTGTAGTGACCTAATGTCACCTTAGCAGCATCATAATTTCATGTAATATTAGCTGTATTGATGTTGAAACTGGTGTTGACAGTGACCAAGCCTATGCTCCCAAATTTACACTGTGCATGACCTGGAATTGTTGCTGGAATGCTCCTACTATGCCAGACATGTGTGATGTGAAATGCATTTTGTGCAGTCTGGCTGTGGGGTATACTTATCTGTCCTCTGTTCCCAACTGCTGGTGACTTCAGGTATGATACCATGAATCATGATACCATGGCCACAGCAAAGATACTAGTACTATACCCACCATTAGGGCCTATGTTAAAGATGAAACTTCATATAACTATTATATTGCAAAAAGGACTCCTGACACAAGAGAAATGTTTAAAACTCATATGGCAATATTCTGACATTCCATACTTCACACAAAAACAATGTTTTGGTTGGCTTATCCTTTCAAGGATTATTTCCTTGGTGTGGGTATAAATGCTGGATGTCATTGGCTTGAACCTTTGCATAATCATTATTATATTGCAAATGCATTGAAGCAAGCAATCTTATCTTAGGACCAAGATACCACCAAAAAATGATTGGTCAGCTGGTATCACAGCCGATCTTGCTTCAGTAGGATTCCACCATAATGTTCAAGGTGAAAATTTCAGTATGAGTGAACTATGTGACAGTTTATTAATGAATGTTGCATCATGCTTTGAGATGTGATAGATGGTTTACAGAGTTTGACAAAGACAAAGACAAAGGTTGACAATGAAAAAGAAGTATGCATTACATTGGATGCAAACTTACATGTTATTTTATTTGGCAGTCTTAGTTTAAAACCTGACTGGTAAAACCTGTACTTAACCCTGATTCTGAGCAGTACAGCAAACTATTATGCTGTGAATATTCTCTTTGAGGTGGGCTTTACTGTAAAACTGGTGTTCATACAGTCAGTTAGGGTGGACACACTATTGGAAGTAATGCAACTTAAGGTCAGCACATGATATTGCCTAGGGTATAATGGAGTCCAGCAGTATTTTTATGTGTTATGAATGCAGAGTCCAGAGGGCTACCTGTTCAGCAATACAAGTTTCAAACTAGACAAAATGTTAGCATTGAGCATGACATTTAAATGTCACAATGAATATTACTACTGAAGGAGGTGCAAACCATTAAGTACTGAAATCTTGTAACTAAATTGGATATCTGAACACAAAATTAGTATAGGTTTTCACAAGGTTTGAAGCATTGAATGTCACATTCATGTGCTCAAAATATTGAATGTTATGGTTGCATGAAAATGAAGGACATGTATGGTGTTATTGCAGTGGGAGAGATGCAGTTGTATCCTTGCATGCCCATCTTCATGCACATGTGGATGGAAACTTTCAAGTATATACCACACAATGTAGGCTCTTATTGACCTTACATCATGTGATTGTTTGCCAGGCATTGTCACACATACATATTTTTAGGATGCAAATCATTCAGACACACATTCACTGACAGCAGTTCTGTTCCTTTCAATAGCTATGGTTTTGGCTTTGGCACTGAGCCACTTTGTATGGTTGACTTTGGATTTAACTCTGGCTGTGTGCCATTTGAAATGGTGTTCCATGGCTTTGTCTTAAAATTACTTTCATTTGTGGCAGCTTACTTTAGCTTCAACTCCAGCTTGAAACAGTTTTTGATTCATGGCTCCAGGCTCAGCTTCATGTGATCCTGGACTCCTGGCTTTGGCTTTGCCTTGGTGACTCCTTTCATTGCAGTTGCAATCAGACTTCACAACAGCAATCTTGGCTGTTCACTGCCCCAATGCACTATACAACTTTGTAGAGGTGCGACATACACATGGTGGTAGGTCAAAAATGATCCCACGATTCTCACGACCAGTTAGCACGCGATGATGGTCGGAAAATGCCTCCTCGCAATGTTTTGAATACACTGGCACACAATATGAAGATGGTGCTAATCCAAATAATCTGCATTCTGTGATTCTAACAGTCTGTCTGAGTGACTTTTAAAACCTGTTGAGCCTTTTGCTCCACCACAGTTTTAGCTGATGCAGCGATGGTTGCGGTTGAAAACAAAAAAACGGTGTCGTAAAGTTGGTTCGGTTTCATCATCGGCCTCTTGAACCTAAACTGAGAGATGCTGCCTCGGTTTCGTGTTTTCTGAAATTAGCTTACTTTAACTTCGGCTTTGTGTGTGCAAAGCTCGAAGCCGTGGGCGCATAATAACCTCTGGTGTTGGCGCGCCCTTAAACTCATCAAACATATCATTATCATAATAAAAGTTCGAAGCCCCTGATGTTGGCCTCGCGATTCCAAACTGCAACGCTATTGACTTTGACTTCTGCTTCATGACTGGCTGGGGTTTAGAATGGGGATCGAGGACGGGAGACTGGGTTCCTTTCCGTGCCTGCCTGGTGCCACTCCCTATTTTGTATAACAGGATATGTTGGCAGGGACAGAACTGGAATTTTGGGCTGTACTTGCTGCTAAGAATTCGGAACAGTATCTCATCCCTGATTATGAGCACTTGCATTTTAAAGACGTCAGCAGCATGTGCTATGTCGTCAGATTGAGCTGTATGTTTGATACAGTGTGCAGCAGTTAATCTGTTGATGACTTTGTTTGATAGTATGACCTTATATGAGAGCTGCTCATACTTGTTGACATGCAATATAATGCTCTGATAACTTAATTCTGTATGCTTTATTCGCAGGGCTCCTTTCAGTTCATTTCACTCCGCGCCATTCAAATTGTGAGGATCAAAGGCGTTCCCTCGCTCGACGACTGCCGGTCAGTCAGCGGCTGCCCAATGAAATCAAAGCGTCATTGGATGATGCTGTCTGAGGTAAGGGAACCAAAGTAACTTAGTTAAAATTGCATGTCTATTAGGTGCTATGTTGAGGACCATGCAGATCGCAGTAGGGTTCAGAGAGCTCCAGTCATGCGGAATTATGTTGTTTTTGCACCGTAAAAAATGATGGGGGGGGGGGGAATGCGACCCATCACACGTGTTTGAGTATGACCATTGTGGCGAAACCACGCCAATAGCGGCCAGGAGCCACGTTACCCAGCCGTGCCCGACACGTCACCTGACATTTGCTGACCGTGCCTGTGCCGGCGGTGCGCGTGCGCCAGGCGCTGCGGAAGCGCGAGGCGCCGTCGGGCAGCGGCTCGGTGGTGCGCCAGTTCCAGAGCCTGGGCGTCATCGACGTCAGCAGCGGTGCCACCGACGACGACGGCCAGTGGATGACGTACCGGGTGCCCGGCTGTCCGTCCAGCGGGCTTCAGATCAGGTTGGCGCCGCTCCCAGCCGCCGGCCGGGTCCGGCGCGGCTGGTGAGACGCATGGTGTTCGGCGCCGCCGCCGCTGGCAAGCCGCCGTCCGTCCGTCCGACCACAGCTCTGTCGTGCTGATGGTTGTGGAGTGCTGTCGTGAAGCGCCGACCAGTTTTGTAGAACGCAGCGCGGCCGTCGTTTGGCTGCGCCGCTGCCTTCAACGGCAAGCTGCCGGCCGGACGCTTTCTCCCCCGCCTTCGTCTTAGCGCTGGGCTGTCTGTCTGGTGAGGCGATCTTAGCAGATCCAGTGGCCAACATGCTAACGCTCGCCTTCGCCTGTCTCGTGGATAACTGATGGAGGGGCGCGCCCGGCGCAGGGTCACGTCCTCTGTCCCCCTGTTTCAGACACGTCAAACGGCGGCTCAGTGCCTCCGACCTGGTCGGGTTTAACAACACGGGCAACGTCTGTGAGTAGTGGCCCACCAGTTCAGGAGGCTAGCACATGCTCTCAGTGGTGTCCATGGCGTGGAACACCGCGCGCTCATCAGTGGAGCGGCGCTGACGGCAACATTTGGACGTGATTATGTCGCACGTGGACATGTCCACCACTGGACGGAATGGCGAACATTGGGGACGGTTGTCGCCTTGGTACCCCTCGGTGCGGCGTGTCTTGGATCACCTGTAGTCGTTCAGTAGTGATACTGCTCGGACGAGTGCTGAATGGTTCCCTTGTTTGGGTTAGCTGCGGGGTTGACTTGTGGCAATGTGGTCATAAGGGGTATTAACCAACATCCTAGGGAGTGTGTCTGATTCTTCGTTTCGCTTGCCTGGCACATGCTGCGTTGATAGGTGTGCTTACAGACCCTTGTACATATGTAACGTTACCGCCTGAATGCTCTTCACTAACAGCTCGTGCTGCCATTAACAGACTCCCGGCGGGCCGTCCGCGCGTGCACGGCTGGGATGCGTGTGTTGGCCTCACACTTCCTCCGATAACCAACACTAGCGTTGTAGCAAAACATCCCTGTGCCTGTAGTTCATGAAATTTGAAAACGCTTCGTGCGATAACCGACGCTAGCTTTGCAGCATAGCATCCCTGTTCTTGTAGCTCATGGTATTTTTTTAAAAATGTGCTAGAAGCACGGGGCTGGGTTGTTCCAGCAGTCATGCGTTGACGTCTTTGTCAAGAATCGGAAGCTTGTGTAATGTCATGCCATCTGACCCACATGAAGCGGGTGAAATCATGCGGCGCTAGCAGTATCACCCGGTCTCCAAGGCGAGTGCCTTTGCTGATGCCAACCTTTGAATATCAGGAGTACATTTGAGTGGGTTTGCACCAGCCGCATGAAGGCATAGAATACGGTGTGAGATATCTTTAGAATGGGGCTAAAGCGGACGGCCTCGCTGGTCTTTGTCGGAAGTCAGGCGGACGAGGCTGCCGGAACATACTGCTAGGCTCCGCCCCTGGCTGGAGGCTATATCGCGCACTGGGTATTGTCGCGTGACAGGTGTCAGTAGGTTACGGGATTGCCATGCAACTGGCTTGTGTAGGTCATCGCATGGAAACGTTGGGACGGCATACGGCATGTGTGCGTGTGTGCGTGCGTGCGTGCGTGTGTTTCGCCAGGTGTGCAGTATTAAGAAGCAGCCGATGTGCGTGCACACGCGTCTGTGTGTGCGTGTGTCACCAGGCGTGTAGTGCCCTTTGGAGCGGATCCGATGTGTGTGCGTGTGTGCGTCTGCGTGTGCGTGTGCGTGTGTGTGTATGTGGCACCTATTGGAGCGGATCCGATGTATGTGTGGGTATGCGTGTGCGTGTGCGTGTGTGTGTGTGTGTTACCTGTTGGAGCGGATCCAATGTATGCGCACGGTGCTGCGCGCGCGCCCGCCCGCCGCCAGGTGAGCAGCACTGGGACGCCGCCGGCGCGTGTGCGCGTGTGTCCCCAGGTGTGTGGCCGTCGGAGGAGGTGCTGACCCTGCTGTGCGTGGCGCGCCGCGACTGGTTCAGGGATAAGCTGGTGGTGGAGGTCGGGGGCGGCATGACCTGCCTGGCGGGCGTCACGGTAAGCGGGCCGCCCCTCACAGAGGCCCCCTGCCCCCCCCCCCCCCCCCGCCCCCGCTCTCCCGCCGGCGCTGACCACCCCGCTCCAGCGTCTCATCCGTGGCTCCGCTTATTGGTGCTCAGAGCCAACCGCTGTCCGCCGATCCTCACTCCCTGCACATGGGCGTGTGGACTTATTGTGTGTCTAACGTCACCATTTGCGTATCCTGGTGGCGTAGCTGCGGCTCTCACTGCCTTCCCTTACGTTCTTTCACGTCGCCTTGTCGTGTTCTGTTCTTACTTTTGTATCGCTGCTCAGCTTCCCGTTGAAAATGTTTCGCATTAGTCGTCTTTCAGTTGCTGTGGTGTTCGACCAACTTTGCCATAACTAAGTCGTGCATGGACAGCATATGAAAAAATCGTTTGTAAGCTGAAATGATTGTAAATAAACCAGATCACTATACCTTTCATGGGCACATGCTATATCGTGTGCTGCTGCAAATTCTGGTAGCCATGCCATCTTGCCAGGTTATAACGTTAGTAGGAAGACCATGTGGGTCACAGTGACGTGCGCTATCGTTCACTTATATGTCAAGATCCTTAAACTTGGATCAGGTACCCCAGCCATACAATATGGAACTCTGTTCTTCTCGTAACTATGCTGAGCTCTGAACTATGGACTGTACTCTAGGACTCTGAACTGGGAGATGGGGTTATCTAACTCTGAACTTACTGGTCATTTGAATTGATACCCGATGCCCGATTTTTGTCTTGGAAAGCTTTCCCCTCCCTACTGCCCCAGTGAATCCAAGCGGAGATAAAGGACATTTTATGTTGATGCATGTGCTACATTAAACCAGGGATCCCATTAATGCTAGGTGTCAAAGCATGTGGATGCTGTGCTGAAAATGATTTACAATCCGTCCTTGATAACCAAACCAGCAATGCATGATCAGCCACGCTTGGTGACTAACAGCTCCGCCCGTTCGGCTTGGACGCCCGGTGAGCGCGGCATCACCTTCACGGCGGCATCACCATCACCTTTGAGCAGTCCGGCGTGGGCCCGGTCTGGCGGTGACAGTGTCTGACGACAGCGCCGCCTAGTGGCCGGGGTCGGACCGACGCAGAGCGCTGAGCCCGGCCGCCGGCTGAGGCTCCGCCGACCGAGGCCCCGGCGGCCGGCGCCGGTGTGGTGCGCGCTGCCCGCGGCGGCTGACCGCGGCGCCGCCGCCAGGTGGCCGCCTACGCCGCCGCCCGCCAGGTGCTGCTCACGGACGGGAACGAGACGTCCGTGCAGAACGTGGCGCGCATTCGCGACAGGAACCGGCCGCTGTTTGGCACCACCGATGTGGTGGCCAGGTGGGGCGCGCCCGAACTCTGTCTCTATCTGTCTGGAATTGCTTGTCTTCTCCATGGACCGTCTTGTGATCTATATCTTATATGTCGCTATGTGCATCTATCTCCACCCTTTTCGGTCTCGCTGTCTCTTCCTCTCTATCTCTGTGTAACGATTTGTCTTTCCGTACGTACCTTCCTCTCTGCCTCTTTCTGTCCCATTTTCCTCTCTTCTTTTATCTTAAATTTCTGCTATCTGTCTTTTCCCTTGTCCCTCCTCCTCCCTCTCCGCACCTTTTCACCCCATCCCTCGCTCGCTCGCCGTAATAACCGTCTCCTATTGGCCGGCCATTTTCTGTCAACTGTTTGGTAATGTTCTCGTCTCAATGTTCTGCTACCTGTACTTCATCAGCTGATTACTGGCACATTAAGTGTCACGTTGGCCATGCCTGTTTGCCTTCCGGCCTCCCCGAACGCCGCTGCCTCGGACCTCTTGTGTCGTTGCCCGCGTATTATCATGTTTCGAGGGTCGCTCCACAATATGTGTCGTATCTCCAGAGGCTTAACCTGCCGTTATGATGTCACACTCGGTTATGTTGGTGCCCCCCCCCCCGCGCTCTCGCGATGTTACGCTCGGCCTGGCCCTTGTGACCGCTGTCTCTGCGCGACAGTCGCCTGCGCTGGACCGAGCCCACCGACGTTGCCTCGCTGCGAGACAAGTTTGACGTCATCCTGTCGGCGGACTGGTCAGTGCACTGCGACGCTCACCTCTCTCCGCAGGGTGCCGCTCGCAGAGTGCTATGCCCCAGGGCGATGGAGAACTGTGTGTCGTGCGATGGGTCCGAGTGACGTTCTTGACGTGAGCAGTGTTGAACTTGTCCGGCGTCTCTTCAAGTCACTGCTAATCATTGAAGCGTATGCCGCCAGCCGTGACTGACACCCGTTTTTTGTCATTTGACGTGGATCTCCTTGGTTTCTTCAACCGACCGTCCTTTGTTTGTGTTGGGCTGTCACTTTTCTCCGGCGTGTGCCTGCGTGTGCGGTGTGCTGTTCCAGCACCAGCTGGCTCCCCTACTGACGGGACCCGCTCGTTGACAGCCTGTTCTTTGACGACGCCCGGGACGCACTGGCCCGCTTCATCCTGGCCGCGCTCAAGCCTGGGGTAAGAGTTGCGCGCGCCTGATGGGTCACCAGACCGGTGCGCGACCAAACGCGCGAACTGCTGCCAGTCTGGTGCCATGGCGATGCATTCGCTGTGTATTCTTTCTTCAGGCGTGTGTGTGTGTGCGTGTGTGTGTGTAAACTTGCTGGGCTCAAACTTGCGAGATGTTAGATGGCTAGATAATCTTGCACCGTATGTGCAATGTCGCTTGGCTGTACCCCGGCGCCAGTCATGCTCGTGGTCGAGCAAGTGAAGTATGGGGTAGTGCTGCGTAAAACCATGAAGTGTTGCGCCACCGGCTGCTGTTTTTCTCTGGCGGCTCAGTAACCTTTGTCTACATAATGGACGTTATGCTCTTTGGTGACGTGCGCACGTCTCAGATGGTGGATGTGGACCTGCCATATCTTGTACCCTCACATATAAGTATTTTCAACTGTTGTCAGTAGACGTTAAGTGTAATGCCGCGTCACGCTGGAAATTTAACGTAAACTCACTATACTACCGGGACTGGATGGACTGGGCGTTTTCCAGTTTGTTTTATAACTTGGGCAGCATTTCATACTATGACTTGTACCGGCAGCCATTGTTACTATTTACCTGTGTATTCATCTATTTCTATGAGGCGCCGCTCATACTAAGCGCGCTTTTAACCGTAAGCAATCCCACAGAACGTGAATTTCATACCGGTCACATAAAGTTGCTTTATGTCTGCGACATCCCACGAGGCTAAGCGCTCCTTCTGCATGGTGGTGGCGCCGCCTCCAGGCAGCAGTTCCGGACGTGCCGCTGTGTGGCGCCAGTGTCAGTCGTGTGCGCTGCCCTCAGGGCGTGGCGCTGGTGGTGGCGCCGGCCCGCAGCGGCACACTGGACCGCTTCCAGGACGAGGTGTTCCGGTGCGGACTACGGGTCGTCCGACTGGAGCGGTACGGCGCCCTGCTCGATGACGTCATACACTCGGTACGACGCACATCGGCCGCGTCGCCGCCGCCGCCGCCACGCGTAATGGCCTCGCGTTAACAGGATCGCCGGAGAATGCGACACATCCTGTCGGCGCGGCGCACTAGGGACGGCCCCTCTCCGCTCGAGGCGCCGCATTGTGGATGCTGCGGTGCTCGAACAAGTCGCATTCAGGCCGACCAGGATTCTTGACGCGCCAGCAGCGACGTTCATGCAGTGAAACTGAAATGCTGTCTTTTGCCAGTGTTTGCGTGACGGGATTCAGATTTGGTACTTTTTTAGTAAATAATTAAAATTAATTCGAATCGTTATTTATCTGTCGAGATCGTACGAGCTTACACATGCTTGGTGAGCTGTCGCGGTTGTATGTTTTTATTGGGCAGCGGGCCGCGGCACCATTCACGACGCCCTTGTTAGTGTGGTCCTGGCGTGGCGCGGCACCGCCACGGTCGGCGGCGAAAACACCCTGGCAGGGCCTCTCCCCCAGATACGTCAGAACGGCCAAACTGCGCGCATCCAGCTCGTGCCTGACCTCACTAGACGAGAGTTGTCTGGGGCTAGCGCATGCGCGTGCCTTGTTTGTCGCGCGGTCGTCTGTATAATTACACTGAGCAGCAGCAGTTTTTGGCGGCGCCACCGCGCGTCATGAGATGCCTTGTAGTTGAGGATTTGGGAAAGGAAATGGCACCGGTGTAGTGCATCTCGTTGATCAATATGGACTTCGTTCCTCTAACGTGCGCGATGCGTGTCTGGGCATCACGTTAGTCCGAATGTGACGGGGTGTGTTCTGACGGCGCGTGACCCCGTCCGTTCGCAGCACCGGTCGAACCCGACGTTCGACCCGGACCTGCACCTGCCCGTGCTGCTGGAGCTGTGCAAGGCGGCCCCGCTGCTGTGACCGTCGGCCGGCGGCTGGGGGCCGCCCAGCGCCTGACCCCGCCAGGTGGGTGACATCCCGCCGGCACTGACGGCGCACACGGCTGGAACCGGCGCGGAGGTGGCGCCGGACGCCGCTGGCCCGGCGCCCGCGCCTCCGCACGCACCACCGCACATCCGAGACACTGCCGCCCGGCACATCCGAGACACTGTCGTCCGACTCACTGTCGCCCGACACATCCGACACAATCGCCCGACGCATCCGACACAATAGCGCCATATGCATCCGACACAGTGTCGCCCGACACGCTACCGCCGACACATCCGCCACACAGCGGCCCGACGCATCCGACACACTGTCGCCAGATGCATCCGACACACTTCGCCCGACGCATCCGACACACTGTTGTCAGATGCATCCGACACGCTGTTGCTCGACGCACCCGGCATGCTGTCGCCCAACGCATCCGACACACTGCCGCCCGATATATCCGACACACTGCTGCTGACACATCCGACGCACTGCCACCCGACACATCCGACACCCTGCCGCCCTAAATATCCGACACACTGCTGCTAACACATCCGACGCACTGATGCCGACACATCCGACACGCTACCGTCCGAAGTATCCGACGCTCTGATGCCGACACATCCGACACATTGCCGCCCGATATATCTGACACACTGCCTCCCGACGTATCCGACACACTACCGCCCGACGCGTCCGACGCGCTGATGCTGACACATCGACGCACTGTTGCCGACACATCCGGTGCGCTACCGTCCTAGGGGTGCCGGTAGTGTAGTGGTTAGCGCGTCTGCGTTAACCACCGCGCGCCTGGGAAACCAGAGGCACGGGGGTTCAGTGTAGTGGTTAGCGCGTCTGCGTTAAGCACCGCGAGCCTGGGAAACCAGAGGTACGGGGGTTCGATTCCCTGCGGTGCTCGGCCTTTTCGCCAGGGTGCGAGGCAGGCGACGCCATATATCCTCAGCAGCTGAGTGCGTCGTAAGGCCCCAATGGCACACGCACACACACACACACGCTGCCGTCCCACGCATCCGACGCCCTGCTGCCGACACATCCGACACACTGTTGCTAACACATCCGACGCGCTGCTGCCGACACATCCGACACGCTACCGTCCAACGCATCCGACGCTCCGTTGCTGACATCCGACACATTGCCGCCCGACATACCCGACACACTGCCGCCAGACACATCTGGCACACTGCCGCCCGACACATCCGACACACAACGGCCCGACGCATCCGACACACTACCACCCGACACATCCGACACACAACCACCCGACGCATCCGACACACTACCACCGACACATCCGACATACGGCCGCCCGACGCATCTGACACATTTCCGCCCGACGCATCTGACACATTTCCGCCCGACGCATCTGACACATTTCCGCCCGACGCGTCCGATACACTGTCGCCTGACGTATCCGACACACTCGCTCGATATATCCCGCGCTGTTTGTAGTAGGGTTCCAGGCGCACTGCCGCCTGTAATATTAGGAAAACGGTTGCCTAGAATACCAGGCAGACTGTCGCCTGGAATACCAGGCGCACTGCCGCCAGATACCAGGCGCACTGCCGCCAAATACCAGGCACGCTGCCGCCAAATACCATGCGCACTGCCGCCAACTACCAGGCTCGCTGCCGCCAAATACCAGGCGCACTGCCGCCAACTACCAGGCTCACTGCTGCCAAATACAAGGCGCATTGCCGCTTAATACCAGGCGCACTGTCGCCAAATGGCAGGCGCACTGCCGCCAAATACTAGCCACACTGCCACCCGGAACACCAGATAAACCCCTCGTGGTGGTACGTTGGTCTGACTGTCTGAGCGGAGATGCCTGAGTCTCGATGCTCTGCAATGCAATCTCGCCCGCCCAGCCTGGGCTTAGCGAGGCTGCAGTTCTGTTGACGCGCGTCCGTGGTGTAAAGCCGTGGCAGGAGTAGGTTGGGAGGTGTCTGCGAGCGCGGACCGGAGCGTTAGAGGTGCCCTTTTTCCTGCCGAACACTGGTGAATTGCACCACAGCTGTACAGAACTGTAACCCACACGTGCTCCCTTGGCCGACTGTGACATTGACGGAGTGAGCAGTACGGAACTATTGGGCTGTTTTTGAAAAAAAACAAAACGACACCTAATCCATCTTGATATACTTATATTCCTATGAAAAGAAAATTTGAAAAGTGGGAGATAGGGAAAACAAAATTGTCACGATATTTTTTTATCGGACATAGTTGTTATGTATCGATTTTGACGGAGCTAGCTTGCATCGACAGCTAACTATTTCGAGGCTGATGTGTTATGGTGACTTTTCATATCCTGTGTGGCGACATTCCATATCAAGGTCCTTGGTGCTAACCAGGAGATGCAAAACGGAGGGATAACCGACATGGTAAAACGGGTTTGAAATGGAACTGATTTGTAGCAAACTGGATAGTGTTTTGCTTTGGTATCAAAACCAGGCATGACTGTAAAGTCTGGTGTAGGCAGAGCCAGAGCCAGTGCCTGCTGGCACGGTGGAAATGAAAAAGTAGGAGGTATTATTGTCGGCCATAATACTACTGTAAATGCGCTATAAATGACCTACGGTTTCCATATAGCATGCATGTACATGTGCCATGGTGCATCTAGTCTTCCCAAGGAGATGGAGCAGGGACACGTTATTGAGGTGTGTCCCATTGCCGCGAGGTCAGCTCACGGCCCGTTGCTGGTGGCCACGGTCTTCCTGTACTGCAGCCCCCCCCCCCCCCCCCCCCCCCCTCTGCCGTCGTTCTTGGACTCGCGACTGACGCAGTATCTTGAGATGCTTACTGCATAGCAGCGACATGTGGAGGACAATATGCCCTTTGAGGCCTTCCCATTTCAGACGGTATGAGCTCTATCTCATCCTTAGGGTTGCTTCTGCACACAAATGTGTGCTATCCCTCCTCCTGGTTCACAATTGCCTCCGTGCCTCTGTGTCCAGTGCCTGTGTGATGCTGGCTGACATGGCACCCATGCGCGGCACACATGGCACCCATGCTGACTGACATGGCACCCATGCGTATCAAGTGAACTGGAAGTGAAACCTTCGGCTTGAGAGGGTACGAATAGCTTCACCCTAATCATGCCTGATTTTGAAATCTGGCAGATGATTACATTAAAAGAAAAGATGGTTGATTCACGCAAATACTCGTTAGGAAATCAGGCTGGGGCCAGCCACATGAAGTTGAGATATCCTATCTGGTGTCAGTGTAGCTGTACCAGTCGTGCATCTCCCTCGTCTTTCTGCAGCCGTTATCGGAGGGGTGGCAGATTTACACAGGACAAATGCCGGCTGTCTGTGCCATGTCGTCCCGCTCTCCCGACTCTCCGTGCCATACCGTACCTGTCCCAGCCGCCCTCTCCCTGCCTGTCTCCTCAGCCCGGAGCTGGTCGGCCTCCTTCGGCCCGGTCCTGACCAGCACCCGGGCCGGCCAGCGGCGGCCAGCGTCCGTGCCTGTGCATGTCGTCCCGCCCGCCTGATCCCGCCGTGCCATACTGTGCCTGTCCAAGCCGCCCTCTCCCTGCCTGTCTCCTCAGCCCGGAGCTCCTCGGCCTCCTTCGGCCCGGCCCTGACCAGCACCCGGACCAGCCAGCGGCGGCCAGCGTCCGTGCCTGTGCCATGTCTTGCCAGCGGCGGCCAGCGTTGCGGCCAGCGTCCTTGTCACGAGGCCGCTCCGTGGCGCTGCTCGGATGGGACCAACAGACTGCGGGCCGGCACGACTGTGGTGAAAGGCTGCTCCAAAGGCTGCTCCTTGCTGAGCCATATCTTGACCGTTGTCGCAGGTCACGCTTAGCCAGACTTGAGATAAGTTTGCTTGTTCAGTGCAACCACTGAATGTGTATCAGCCTCATGTTGAAGGAAACTCGTCTGAAAGATGCAGTTGTCAGTGCCGAGAACGGTACCGTGCCATACATTGACGATTATTCCAACGGTGTCTCGGCAAGGCGCCAGGTAAGGTTATGCCGGGCTGGGTTAAAACAACGAATCAAGGCTTACCACTGTTCCATGATGTATGCAGCCTTGTTTGAGACGTGGGCGTGGGTCATGTTACGGGGAAAACGAGTCTCAAAACATACGGTGTGAGTGCTGCAAGTGGTCAAGTTGAAGGATGCGTAAATAAAGAACCAAGTAAAAATATTCACGCGTTCCAGCCTTTTCCTTTGTATTGACACCGGGTTGTATGCAGGATCTCGTGGCAAGGGGGCACTGCCGGTTTTCACTGACAGCCCAGTTGAGCACTTAGACTCATGGTGTGAAACATCACGCGCGCTCAGCCTACTTATGTTACGCTTACCCATATGTTTAGTGTTAACCTTCACTCGTGCACGTATTAACACGCGCTCGGGTGGGGGTGAAACTGACCCGTCCCCCCCCCCCTAAGGTTTTCCGAACGGTTTCCGAACGGCGCGGCGTAGCCGCGCCAAGTTTTACTTAGCTGTAGACAATTGAATAGCGGATCGTTGGCATCAACAATTTCAATTTATCTTGTAAGCTCGCTGGTCTGTGGCTGGTCAGTCAGGCCATGGTTTCAGCGAAGTCAATTTCCAGGGGATCGTTTGATCTGATCCAACAACGGAGTGTTAGACGAAGTCATACATCTCTGAGATGCTTTCTTAGGCAACACAATAGTTGAATGAGCAAATAACGTTAACCTAAGGTCAGGTATGAAGCTCAGACCAAGGTCAAAACCAACCTGTTTTATTACCCTTGGGCTTGCTGTATGGGGTATTTTCTGGTGCTCATTTCGAATTTATTGATAGCTGGAGCCGCATCATGCATCTTCCATGGACTTCTTAGAGGTCAGAATAAGCCATTGATCTAAAATGACCCAGGTCAAGATTTTGTTTTTCGGAACATACTGCCTGGCGTAATATTTGTTGCTTATTTAAATGCGAAACTCAGAGCATGTTGTATGATTTTGGTTACCATGATCTTCAAAGGTTCAACAAGGTCACTGACCTTAAATGAGCATGTGACCTTTTGCTTAGAAGTTGTTATCTAGGTTCTTGGAGCACTTTGGAGACCAACCTGGAATTTTGCCTTGTTTGACCTCATTTGATCCGAAGGTCATAACCCAGGAACTTGAAACTGGAACCTAAGTGAGTTCATGTACAAGTCAACACACCCGGTAAATTTGGTGTTTTTAGCTGTTTTAGTTCCCGAGATCTTTGTGGGGTCGGATTGACCCCCCCCCCCCCGCCCTCCTCTACCCGAGCGAAGGTTATCCAGCCGGCCACCCGGGCGCATGTTAACCCTCACCCCGATTCGCTGTTTTTTCTTGACGTGAACTGATTGGGGAGGGGGGCATGCGACCCCCTCGTGCTTCTACACTAATGAAAAAAGAGCTCAGCGGAAAGCATCAACTGACTGGTCTTAACGAGATCTCGCGATTGGTACTAATTTCATATGCTTCTACGTTATTAAAGGATCCTATTATGCCAGCTTAAAGGTAAAGTTTTCCGGAAAATCACACCTTTTCAGCTTAGCGTCATACATACGAGATAATGTCTTGTGGCGGCACAAAACATTAGCAGGCGTGTTGCTTGTCCAATTCATTGGTGCATATTTGCATTTGTTTTGAGTGTACGTTTATGGTATATGGTTCCCTTAATGTATCGACGTCGGCCCGCCGCGGGCGATCCGCGGTATCGGCGGTGTCCGCCCGCCGCTCGCGCCGGGCGGAGATCGTCACGCAGCATCCCCCAAAACCGCCGCTGCTCCGCAGCCAGAAAAGCTTGGAACACCTTTTTGTCAATGTTTGCCCATTGGTTGCTGACAATTTTGAGCGCGATTGCGTGACATGCTGGAGAGGTTACCCAAAACTCCTTAGGAGGGGAGGGGGTCGCTCCATCTATCTATCTATCTCCTATCAACGCGACGGTGCGGTAAATATACATCATACATTTACTGAGGGAGCCCTATTTGCGCACGCTCCTGCAGTGATGTCAATCCTTGGCAATCTGGTGATGTGTAAATTGCGCTTTCCCTGCGGTCACGTATTTTTTAATGTTCCGATTCTTTACTTTGGAAGCCATGTCGGACCCATACTCCCAAGGCTCGGGCCGGCGCCGTGAAAGCGAGTGAACTCTGGCTAGAAGTCGCGGTCTGAGGACGCCTTTTGGAGGGATAAAGGGGTGGAATATGGGATGTATGGGGGGGGGAGGGGGGGTAAATAAAGGCTCTGCCACGCACTAATTCAGGCACCAGACCCAGAGCCGGACGCATGCTCCCAGAATCAGCCTCATCTCCTGCCCGGCCGACCCTGAAGTGCTGCGCCGCTCCGCCGCACGTGCGTGATTAGGCTGTGAGTGGGCCGTTCGACCCAGAGGAGCCTGACGGCTGCCGCGACGTCAGCGGGCGTGCGCTGTGACGGCGGCGGCTGACGGTCGTCCCGGCGCCCCTGGCCCGTCGCCAGGCCGCGGCGCCCGCTGGCCCGGCTCGCCGGCGAAGCGCGTGCGTCGGCGTCGGCTGCATGGAGGGGCGGCGTGCGTGCCGCCCCCAGCCGCGGGGAAGGCCGGATGACTGGGCCACCAGCAGTGCCCAGCCTGACCACGGCGGCAGGCGGCCGGGTCGCCCAGTGGCGCCGGTGCACTGGCGCCGAGGTGTGGGCCGAAGCAGTCCGTGCTCAATCACGTCGTGTGTAAAAACTGAAATGTGCTTTAGTCAGGCAATCACACTGGTCGGCCGCGTGCTGAGTGGTGAACGGGTTAAGATCAGGACATCACCCGGCCCGGCATGCCGCCGTCGCGTGAGACTCTCAGAGAAGGTCGCGCCCGAGTTGATCGAGCGGAATGCGCCGACAACGTAAATAACCGCCCGGTTACGAGGAGACAGGCCGTGACATTCTGTAAGCGGGCGGCCAAACACAGCCGGTAGCACCAGGCCGGGGCTCCCGTGTGCCATGGCCAGCTTTTCGGGAGATTGATTGCGCGTGCCGCTGAGTTGACCGGTTTATACCCCTCTGATGCGGATGGGCTGGGGCGGTGTGCGCGCTCCTGGGGCCGGGTGGGCCCAGATCGCGCGGTTCGGCAGCTGCCGTCGGCTGGCTTTCCCGGCCTTAGCCTCAGCAGTGCACCAGCAGGGCAGCTTTGGCCGGGGCGGTAGAGCCCGAGGTGGGCTGTATTCGTGTGATGCTGGGCAGGCCGGTCGGCTCCAGTCTGTCCGAGCAAATGCTTCCCATCGTTATTTGTGTCGAGCAAACACGTTCAGCCGAGCGTGAAGAATGCGGATGCGTTTGCACATTAGCTGACATTAAACTCTTAAATGCTTCCAATCCGTGTGTATATGCCACCGTCGGGCAGGTCAAGCTCGAGACTTTTCTTGTCGAGCCCTTGCAATCCCATGCTGAATCAAACATCCAGACATGCATAGACTACGTGACGGGCTCGACAACGTACCTCGTGACTGTCCCGCGCCACCAGCTGACTAGGTCACCCCATCGCGTGGCTGTGGTCCGTGATGATGTGTTTGTCAGGGGCACGCGACCACACTGGTCGAGTTCAGAATATCACGTGCTCTTCACTTGGGCTTAAGGCACCGCAGTTCTGTATAGGTACAGCTCATACCTGGGGTGGGGAGGAGGAGGAGCAGGACCGCCGAATTACCGGGGACCCGGCGCCGCACCGCTCGGCGTCGACGTAACGCGCGACCCGGGGGTCCTGGCCCCATGTGGCTCGGGCTGAGGTCAGAGTACTCCTGATCTGGCCTCCTCCCAGCTGCGGACCGGCCGGCGGTGGTGCTGCTATCAGTGGCTGAGCCCGGTGCGCCGCGCTAATCAGCTGGTCATGGCCGTGTGCAGGCGTGGTCCGGCACAGCTGCCATCAGCGGGCGACCGCTGGACCGTCTGCTGGCGCGCGCTCGGCCTGGAGCGGCGCGTCCGGCCGGCCGTCGGCACCGGGCCGGACAGGGCCGGACTGGGCTGAGCACCGGGCAGAACAGGGCCAGACAGGGCGGGGCACCGGGCCGGACAGGGCCAGACAGGGCTGGGCACCTGGCCGGACGGGGCAGGGCACCGGGCCGGACAGGGTCAGACAGGGCTGGGCACCTGGCCGGACAGAACCGGACAGGGCTGGGCACCTGGCCGGACGGGGCAGGGCACCGGGCCGGACAGGGCTGGACACCGGGCCGGACAGGGCCAGGCAGGGCTGAGCACCGGGCCGGACAGGACCGGAAAGGACAGGGCACCTGGCCGGACAGGGTTGGGCACCGGGCCGGACATGGCTGGGCACCGGTCCGGACAGGGTCAGACAGGGCTGGGCACCGGGCCGGACAGGACTGGACTGGACAGGGCACCGGACTGAACAGGGCTGGGCACCGGGCCGGACATGGCTGGGCGCCGGACCAAACAGGGCCGGACAGGGCAGGACACCGGGCCGGACAGGGCAGGGCACCGGGCCGGACAGGGCTGGACACCGCGCCGGACAGGACCGTCCCAGCCCCGTACCCAGCTGTGCCCGGTCCGGTGTCCACCAGCCTGTCTGTGTCGCTTCGCAGGTGGTCTGTGCACCTCAGCCTACCGGGTGTGTGGCCAGAAAAGCAGCACCTTTCAAACTTCACAAAGCCCACGGAACGGGTACAAATGCACGCCACGCCCGTGGTAATTGCAGGAACGAGTGCTTGTAAACTAAGAGTTATGCGCACAGATTATGTTCCAAGGCGTATAGAATAGTGGCACAAGTGTTTTATGCCAGACCCGTTCCCCTCTTCAAGAACTTTTATCAAAGGCATGTCACCGGTTAGCTTACTTGTGGCCACTGTGCACGGATTATGCATCTCTTCTTGTACTGCTAGCAGGTGGACAGCTAGGCAACAATGCAGCCCGAACAAATGGACAAAGGGGGAAAAACTAAGAATAGACTAGATCCTTTCCCACGCCTGGTATCCCGCCATGTCCGAAACGTGGACAAAATGAACTGCCTTAGTTTTACGGGCTGGCCTGGCGCCTTCCGCGCATAGCACCATGGACTGTGTGGGTGGAGCGGTCCGACACCTGGGCCGCGTCTCCCAATGGCAAAGTACCTAACTGAGTTGCTACCTGTGACGTCGCAAGTCCTGACGTCATACGCAGGCGGCTATCCTCCAAGCCGTAGGAACTGTTGTAACGCACTTACATCTGACGTCATAGGCTGCAAGTTGTGGGCAGCTGTTTGTAATGGACGTCACCCCGGAGCGTCCACTGTCGGGTCACTGTCAGGACGCCTCTGAGCAGCAGCGCCCACCGTTAGGCCACTGTCAGAACGCCTCTGAGCAGCAGCGCCAACTGTCGGGCCACTGTCAGGACGCCTCTGAGCAGCAGCGTCCACTGTCGGGTCACTGTCAGGACGCCTCTGACCAGCAGCGCTATGGCAGCCTGAGCTCGGGCTGCCGCCCCGACAGTTGCGGGGAAACGCCCACCCCAGTGATCTGGAGCTCCGACTCCTCATACAGCTCGTTTCGCTCGATATGGGGCGTTTTTTCGGTGCTGTCCGGATGTTCTGGAACCACAGCTCTGATGCTGTCCGGATGTCCTGTAACCGAAGCTTCCCTCTTCATTGGATGTGTCCTGACTGGTCTCCATTGGTGGAGTGCAATGGTCACACAGTGTTGGGGGATTGTGTCCAACCTTTTTTCTATTTTGGTGACTGTGGCACCCTTGAAAAGCACCAGCATGCGTGGTCGCCGGCAGTACGTTGCTGGCCATTTCGACGGGTGAATCCTGTCAGCGAATATTAAATATGCGTACATTTTCTTGATGGTAGCAGATTTCGCAACATCCTGGGTTTTGCGGACGCCGTCCAGAGTGAATACTCTTCTACGTGGACGATGAATGGATGGGCTCCACATCAGTCATTATGAGCCTTCGTCATAGATATCATCAAGCAAACAAGTCTATCAAAACGTCATCAGCCTTACGCTGTAAGGCGTTCTAAGATGGCCGCTTTGAGTTCCCCGTTCCCGATTGAGTTCCAAGAGTAGGTTTGCCTGATTGCCTACCGCTAGCTATTAACAAGACGTAAACAACACGTTCCAGGATCTGTTTGTGCTTCGAGCATAGTCCTCGCCAGCAGTGAACAGAATGACGTTATCCTTGTCACCAACGGCGTGCACTGTCGTCAATGATGGGGGTACATGAAGCCTGGTAAGTCTTCTCGTGCAATGATCTTAGCACGTCAAGCATCCAATCACGTCTGTGTTGTTGCCACATAGTCTCGGTATCCTTTGGAACTACGACCGTGTCTGGTCTGCCGACGCTCGGTCGCTGTGCCCGGTCTGCCGACGCCCGGTCGCCGTGTCCGGTCTGCCGGCGCTCGGTCCCTGTGTCCCTTCTGACGCTCGGTCACTTGCCGTGTCCGGTCTGCCGACGCTCGGTCGCTATGTCCGGTCTGCTGACGCTCGGTCGCTGTGTCCCTTCTGACGCTCGGTCGCTTGCCGTGTCCGGTCTGCCGACGCTCGGTCGCTGTGTCCGGTTTGCCGACGCTCGGTCGCTATGTCCGGTCTGCTGACGCTCGGTCGCTGTGTCCGGTCTGCCGACACTCGGTCGCTGTGTCCGGTCTGCCGACGCTCGGTCGCTGTGTCCGGTCTGCCGACGCTCGGTCGCTGTGTCCGGTCTGCCGACGCTCGGTTGCATACCGTACCCAGCACGGCCCGCGCCAGCCGCGAGGCTCGTGTCCTCGGACTCCGAGCCATTCGCTGCGGTTCAAGAGGGGTATTACCGATCCCTTCGTGCTGGACTACCACCCGGCCGTTGTCTGGTAGCGGCCCGGCGGTGTGCCGGCCGGGTCAGGGGGCGGCCCGGCGGAGCACCGGCTGGGTCAGGGGGCGCGCCGTCACCCGGCTGTTAGACGACACGGCAGGCGGCCGGATTCTAAGCTTGGGGGGGGGGGGGGAGGGGGCAGTCGGTGCTAACCGGTGCTAACCGGTCACCGTCACAGAGCCGGCCTCTGCTATGGAAGTAGAGGCAGGGGTGTGTTTTCAGAGTGTCAGTTTCCACCGCATATTTAGTTGCCCGTAATCGGTGACAGCGTGGTTCAAACGTTTCGATAGCGACTGTACTTATAGTTTGGATGCGCTTTATGTCCTAAACGCATGGGCTAAGTCAGGTGGGTGGCTTCGCAAAACGCGCGGTTTGTATGCTGAGCAGGGAAGATAAAGAAACATCTGGCATGACGGAACCCACTTTCGAAACACACCAATAAACGTGTTCCTCCAGAAACTTGCCCACTTTCTTATCAAAGTAGGGGTGCGCGGGTGGAGCACCTCCTTCCCCCCTCCCCCCTCCTGTTGACCAAACTTGAAACTAAACCAGTGGCTTATATACATATGTTGTGTGATAGTTGCGTTGAGTTCACAACGTATAGGTTAGATACGTATTGTGTGCCGATTTCTGTGCAGGTAGCTGGACAGCGTTGCATTATGCATACGACACGAAATATTTGCTAACAACAAGTGACTGAAGTTTTTAAGGAAACTAGGAGAATTTTTGGTCAGCTGGCGCTGATCGCGTGACTTTTCAATTATGGACGCGGTGCGCTAACATCTGAGTTGCATGGCGCGGATGGAAAGTGGTAAAATTTGAGGTGCATCGTGCAGAGAAAGCTTGACTCTTTTCGGCTTGGCGTTATGTTTTGCTAGCAATGAAAAAATAACAGATGAATCGGCAAAAACCAGCAAAGCAAGATGGCTCATGTGAGCTTGTCAGTGAAATCTGCCAAGCAGGATGGGCGCCGTTTCGCTTCCAGAAATTCATAAATCGTGCATTCAGCATGTGAACCCACTGGGCTGGTAGGAAAAGTATGCCGGCAGCCCGGGAACTACCAGCTGACTTCGGCGGAGACCCGCTGCATCTCACGCAGACCACCCCTGCGGCGGTGGTCTGCGTGACCCTACGGGGCGGCGCCGGCAGCTGCCGAAACCGCGGGCTGCCCGTCGAGATCGTGTGCGTCACTGTTGCCGTGCCTGGGTCACTCCGCCGCCCAGAGCAGCGGTGACGGGTAACACCGGGAGATCAGGGCACCGGGAGCCCAGAACACCAGGAGTTCAGAGTACCAGGAGCTTAGAACATTGGGAGCTCAGAACACCAGGAGCTCAGAACACCAGTAATTCAGCACCAGGAGCTCAGAACGCCAGGAGCTCTGAACACCATGAGTTTAGAGTACCAGGAGCTCAGAATACCAGGAGCACCGAACACCAGGGGCTCAGTACACCAGAAGCTCAGTGCATCAAGAGGTCAGAGACCAGGAGGCTGCGTACGGGGACAAGGCGACTGTGCAACGCAACATGCTCCGAAAGGCTGTGCAAGGCCGGCTGCCACATTTTGTCCCAGCGTTGCCACATTGCAGGCCAGAAGAGCCTGGTGACGCAACATCTGCTGTGGAGTGTTTGTCTGCGCTGAGTGGTTCGGGCATCTTATCTGATCTCGCTGCTCGTGCCAGAAGTCACCGCTCGGTCCCGGTCTCCCAGACCTGATTGTGGGCTCGAATATCCCGTGGCGCCGTTAAGGCGCGACAGGATTATTCATGATTGGAATGGTGGCGGAATGGTGGAATGGTGCGGAATGCAGTTTTGAATCTTCATAGCAGCTGAAAAGTTATACGGGCAAAGCTACAACCTATGTGTCAAATCCTCTGGGCTGTGGATTAGCGTTTAAATAAATTACACCAGTGGGGCATCCGTCACAGATTCCATTCGCATACGTTGCATATTGCATGTCTTGCATCGGGCATGTTCAGGTCGCACTTCGCTCAGTTTTCCACGCTTCCCCGGGCGTGACATTGACTCTGAACAGCCCTTGCATTAGCACGTACACAGCTCAGCCAGTTTGGTTTATGAAACGGTGCTTTGGTGAGCTAATGCGGCGGCGACTTCAATGTCAAGCGTGATGACCTGTACTTGACTGGGATGACCCGCGGCTAGTGACAGCGATGCACTGAAGGCCTGGTGACGTCAGAGGGCAGAACGGCCCGTGCCGAGCGTTGCGATACATTAAACTTTTGCCGTCACATTCTGCCGCTGACCTGAAATTCCACAGTTGGAGGGCACAGGGCGCAGTTCGCGGGACAAGCGCTGCGTAGCGTGAGCTCTGATCCAGAAATCTATCCGTTCAAAAGATCGTGGTCATTTAAAAAAAGATGCTGTTGAAGACATATCACGGAAGGTGCGAAAGAATTGCTCAATGTCCCAGTCAGGGTGCGTGCAATATGCAGTATAATAATAAATCGCTGGTACTTCAGATGAAGTGTCAAGTTATTGGTGATAGAATATACAGCAGAAATGCACCATCGATTCGGGTACATGCCGACCTACCAGCCAATTACCGGCCGCCTTCCCGCTTCATCTGGCGGGTCGGGCCGTAATCCTAAAGTACAGTTGGTAAATCACATATGGAATATCTCCACACATGCCATTATTTTCCCATTGCTTCAACAAGGTGTCTCATGTGTGCCATGATGGGTTGCAGCATTCTGAGATCTCTCAGCTAACTGTACGCCTTATTCCCGACCTTTCCGAGGCTAACATTTAACATATTATGCGCATCCATCGAATTAATGCAGCCGACGTGTTCCCCATTTGTGTCCGAGACGTGCCAGCGTGAGAAGGCTGCCGCGCTTCGGCCGGTCTTGTGCGCACTACAGCGTCCACCCGTGGCCCAGCATCGGTCCGCTAGGCGTCCAGGCAAGCCTCAGGCAAATATCTCCCGTCTGCCGATCGAGCCCTACCAACAGAAGTATGCTGTGCAAGTGCTTCGTACTGGCTGCAACGGCTGAGCGAGCTGCTGAGTCACGTGGCCGCTGCACCCGAGAGAAGTCGACTCCCAGATTAGGTAATACAAAGCAGGCGATGCAGACAATTGAAATCCACTGAGTCAGCTGTACAGTACATATGACATGCAGTGGCACATGGTTGCCCTCTGACTGGTATCGCAGTCTACGTTGCAAAGGTACTGCAATGTAACCAAGACAGCCCGGTAGACAAATGAAGCCCGTGAAACTCGAGGCTCATGGAAATTAAGCTGCTCCATGCATTCATTTTATCACTGGCCATTTTGCATTGCACCGTATCGAACTTAATTGTTACTGTAATCAAGATTTAGCAAATACCTATTGTCAACCCCGCTTAGCCAACTCATGATACTCGTGTCAGGTGTGGAGGTGACGGCCCCAACGTAGCGGAAGAATATTGGCCGCAAAGCTAACCATTCTTATATCTCTTCAAGGGACCAGGGAAGGAGTTAGTGAGCCGGAAGCTGCCGATTGTTACCACTTAACGTTTGGCGACCATATTGCCGCAGTCCAGTTAGGCTGGTACCGTATCTCGATACGGCTGAAGGCGTATCATGATGTAGAACACACACATGGCCAACACTGGGTGCTGTCAACATTACTATGTGAGCAATGGTGACGAGGTACTCCTGGTGCGCGCGCTCTCCAAACAGTTGTTGGGCGTCGCTGGTGCGCTGACGCAACCGCCAGCGCCGCTCCAAACCAGAGCCACTGAGAGAACCAAAAACACCGCCACGCCGGGCCTGTTCTTACAACAGGACGAGCGACACACCCACCGGCGGAAAGTAAAACACGCGGCTCTTTGCCATAATAAACACGCGGAAGCAGTAAAGCTCCATCCGACTTGCGGCGGTTGGTTGCGGTCCCAGATGGCCCGTAAGCACATAAACCATACGCTATATGCTGACAATGTGTGTATGCGCGAGGTGCTGTCCGAAAGTTATGGTTACGCCGTGATAACAAGTCTGTATGTAAACTGAGCACATGCGCGTGTTATTTCTGATTAGTTTGGACAATAAGTCGTTGGCTGTCTAAATTGCATCCGATGGCCGCCGATTGCGCCGTACGTAACTCGTTTCAGGGGGGGGGGGGGGGCGATTTGATTATTTTGAAATACACTTGCATTTGTTAATTCTGCGCAGTGACGGTGAAACAACGGCAGTTGAGTCTTCAGTGAAGTTTATAACCGAGGCAGATACAACAGCAATATTCATCCGCAGGCATGTATGCATGCATTCACATACGTTTGCAGTTGAGAACCCAACCCCCCAACCCCTAGAAAAAGCGGATGTTGGCGCCTTTCTCCCGATTTATGTGACGTTGTTGCAGGGACGAAACGGGGGGGGGGGGGGGCGAGAAACGAGTCACACAACTTCAGCAGGGGTCACAAAACCTCGGCAGTCACAAAACCTCATTAGGGGTCACACAACCCCATCAGCGGTAACAAAACCTCAGCGGGATCACAAAACCTCGGCAGTGGTCACAAAACCTCGGCAGAGTCACAAAACCTCAGCAGGGGTCACAAAACCTCAGCTCGGCGGCTCCCCTGAGCCTGCGCGAGTTGGCGACACTAAGCGCGGGCGGGAGTCGCCGGTAAGTCTGATAGCAGCGCTCATATATGCATGTATAAGTAGGAATGTGTCACCCAGGCTGTGAACTAATGAACAAGCTCTAACAGACGTAGGTGGAAGACCAACCCGGCTCATATTGATGCTCCTTAGCGAATTATAGACGGTTTATAATGTATGACGTTTTTGTTTTCCTGACTTAAATGGATGGGATCTGAGATTTTCAAAGGGCGGAAAATGTAGGGGATTGCATAACACAAGTTTATATAGAGTTTGGCTTGATCCCGGGAATTGAATGCCCGAAAAGCTTAACTATGGAACGGCTAACAGGGGCAAATGTCATGTGTCAGACAAACAGTATAACTCTAGAACTAGGTGCCTGCGAACTGTGTTTGCTTTGGACTTCCCTTTCAAATAGCTGAAGGTGGAGAGGCGTTAGGTGGCCAGTAACAGTGACTTTATTGTTTAATAATCTTCAAATTTGCCCTAGGATTGCACGATTCCATGGGTTTGCCCTATGTTTATGTCATTGGGTACGGCTTTCGGTTTATACGTTACGTTGCATGCATGCAAGGGCGCCGTGGCGCACGGGCTCCTAAACCAGCTCAAACCGGCCTGCATCGGGATTTCGGGTAGCAGAAACCTTTTTGTCATTCATTTATTAAGCGCAACGTGACGGTGAAATTTAGGAATAACCATATAAGATAAAAGATGCATGAATAACCATATTATGATATCCATCCTAGCCTAGTGTTGATAGTGGTGTCCATAATTGTGGCCAAGCTTTTTAGAGTCGGAGATAGATTACAATATTTAGCAAGTATCGTTCTGTACGTAATGTCGGTGCGTGTTTGTATCACATTATGGGAACTGTTTCCGAACGTTTATTCCAGTAGGTTTTGGGAGCAGGCCCGAAGGTGTGACTCATCCTTTGTTCTGCTAGCCCAATCTAGCGTGGGCGATATACATTGAACGTATAGCTCTGCGATCGATGTTGGTTTGTTTTACGTACGTCTGAGCTGGTACGTCAGGTCTGTACGGTGGGCATCCTGGCATAACCGTCTCGTCAACCTCCGCAGACTTGTTCGCAGATTTAGTCCTAGTCCGAGGAGCTGAGGAAGCGCCGTGTATTTAAGCTGTAAAATGGTTGTTTATACCCTTCAGATGAGGTCTATCATAATATACCGAAGTCTTAATGGTCAGTAATTCGACTATCGGTACGAATTGCGGGCACGCTCTTCGGCGATGACTGGAGATCGCGTGGCGCCTCCGTCGGGCGCAGGAAGGGGTGAGAGCTGACGGTCAGCGTCAGCCGTATCAGTTCTGCCCCGCCGCCGCCGCCGCCTCCGTCCCGTCTGAGCTGAGTCAGGTGAGCGCCGACGGCGTCATGGTGGGGCGATGCCGACTGCAGGCCGGCGCCGCCGCCGTCACCCTGCGCGTGTCCGGCCTCAGGTGGCGCCGGCGCGCGCCGCGCCCGACGCAGCGCCAGCATCGATTCGACGGGCGCCTGCGCGCTGGCGGCGGCTGGCCGGGCGGGCTCTGGCCGGGCCGGCTGTGAGTGCGCCGTGTGCGGCGAGCGGCGACGTGATGCGCCGGCTGCTGACGTCAGTCCGGTGCCGCGCGGCTGGACGGCGCCGGCCGCCGGCGGCAGTGCGGCCCGCGGCGCCGTCCCAGTAACAGTCATGGGCAACGTGCCCGGCTCGGAGGCCGCCGAGCACGACTACGAGGAGGTCAGTGTCTGTGGCGGCCCGGTGCGCGGCCGTCCACGCGCGCGCGCGCATCGCTAGCTCGGTGCTGGGGCTCCTTCCCGCAAGAGGAGCGAGCTGCCGTGATGCTGTTTGGCACACCGCTGGGCGGCTCCTTTGGTCTCGGCTCGCAGGACGCGCGCCCCTGACACCGTCTCGAGCAGCGCTGTACTGCGATCCGCTGGTGGACGCCGCTCCTGGGTCCTGGGTCTCGAGGCGAGACTCCGGCGCGCCTGCGCGTGGCGTGGCATAGCATGACACAAAGCGAGGCCTCCAGCTGTAGGAGGTTCGCGGCACCAGAACTGTTGCGGTTGGCATTGTCTCTTTTCAAGATAAACTTCATCACTGCAATTTTCGAAAGGGTGACACTAATACTACCTTTACGGTCACGTACATATCATCATCCCTGCCGTCCTCTTTGTCTTTGAATGGTTGAATGCCCTGAGGCCATGACGTCCCCTTAGTTGCTGTGGTCTAGTCCCGTCTACGAATTGATTATCGGTTTGTCGGCGCTAGACTCGCGGCTGCCATTATGTTACAGATGTCAGTGCTCGCTGATACCGCTTTCAGACGAGAAAGGCATTAAATCGGCTGTTATTGCGGGGACCTTACGGTGCAATCAGCGGGTCACGAGCGTCAGCGTCCGCTGGGGACTTACCTGGTGGTGTGGATGTAGGTCAGTAATTACGGAGTGTAGCCGCGTCCCGACATTTGAGTTGAGCCTGAGAAGTCGAGCTTTGGCAGTTCGAACTGTGGTATCGACCCATGCGTACGTTATTAATGCAATCGGAACGATTTAATAGGATTTCCCGCCCCGGCCAGGAAATGTTACCGAGGCTGTGCGCATCCCCGGGTCCTGTCAGTATGAGTAAGGGCCCTTTTCCGAACGCTTGCTTCGCTTCAATGCTTTGAAATATTTCGAAATGTTTCCGAAAGTGTGAATAAATGTTCACGTCCGGAAAGCCTCAAATGAAAATTTTGGTTGCGATTGACTGACCTAAATTAGAAACGCAAGCAGCCGGAAACAGTTCAATTGGTAAATATGTGTGCATTTGATAGACATAAATTGCTCGTTATTATTGACTGATTTTCGCAGTAATGTGTTACTGCCGGTAACGAGAATGTCCACATCTAGTGTCAAGGGATCAACGGAGGAACAATAAATGGAATGATCTTTTCAACATTGTGATGCGTCAGTCATCGTTCAGCGCGTTCCGATACTTTCCCTACCAATGGCCTGAAGTGATTAAAAATTCGCACATTATTCACCGCAGATGCAAGTGCTGAGGCTTGCACCTGCTGACAATTCTAGCTATGCCTGTCCGCCCCCGGTGCCGCATGAGTCATGCCATTGAGCGGGTCAGCACCGCTCCCGGCCGGCGCCGTCCGGCGGGACGCGGCCACTCGCCTGCCGGCACCTGGTGACCGGCTGACCCGTGAGTGGGGCCCGATCCTTCGCGCCGGCCGCGCCGTGCCGTTCAGACGCGGGGACTGCGCTGGCGGGCCCGGGCCGGCCGACGGGACGCGACGGTAGCCGGCCGCCGCGGACCCGGCAGCTGAGGACGGCGCCAGGTGACGGGAGGTCGCTCCGGCGCGCGGCGGGACGGACCCTGCCGCCGGCGGAGCGAGCTGGCCGGATCGATGGCCGCCCCTGGCTCGACGGCATCGACCGCGCCAGCGGTCGTCGCCGGCGAGCAGGCCCGCTCGGTGACCGGTGACCGGTCACCGAGCTCACGACTGCCGCTGCCGGTCCCGCTGTGGGCGGCGGCGGCTGCGGGCGAGCCGCTCGACAGCGACCGCCGGGCGCCCGGGCTGGCCGGCCACCCGTCCGACCATTGGCCGCGAGGAAACAGGCCGGCTGGCGACCGTTCGTTCCGTGTCAGTGTGTCTCAGTCTGTGGTGGATGGAGCAGGCGAGGGTGCCTTATGGCGGCGCTGATCCTCGGTACCAGGCGTAGCTCCACGGGTGCCCGTTCGTCCCGTGTCGGAATGCGTCAGTCTGTGGTGGCTGGAGCAGGAGAGGCTGCCTCACGGCGACACCGAGCCTCGGTACCAGGCGTAGCTCCACGGGTGCCCGTTCGTCCCGTGTCGGAGTGCGTCGGTCTGTGGTGGCTGGAGCAGGCGAGAGTGCCTCGCGGCGGCGCCGAGCCTCGGTACCGGCGCCAGCTGGCCGCCGCTCGGCCGCGGGCCGACTGTTCGCCGGAAAGCCGGTATTGGCGCACCACGGCCAGGCTGCTCATGTTCGTCGCGCAGCATTAACATCGCGACGTGCCATTGATCCGATCGCGACGGCGGATATAATGATCGGCTGATGCGACATCAACGTGTAACGACCGTGACAATGAGTGCTGCATAAGACTGGGCTTCAGTGTACGATCCTATATGTCGGCGCTTGGGGTGAGGATGCGTTTTCAATTATGTTTAGATTAATTCTTTTCCTTTTCGAACTAGTGGTGGGAGCAGTTGTCATATGGGACCAAATGGGAATAAGTGCGACGAAAGCCAGCCAGCCAACGATGCTTAACAATTGCACTTGCTTGCCAAAGTAAAAGCATCGCGGATTAAGTCATTGTTTGGGCTGCCGTTCCCGTCTGGCGTGCTAGTATGTACGCCACGTTCGGTCCGCACGGCCGTCGTCAGGTATTGTGGGAGTCTTTTGGATGACTGAACAATACCTTATTTTCAGCCATGTACGCGTCACAGCCTGACCTATTATCTTCTTGAAATTGATGGGATTCGAATCAGGATCCTCTTATTGGGAGTCCATCGCTGCACCAATTGAGCTAACCGGAAAGACGGTTAGTTCTGTTGCTCGAAGGACGGTACGGTTGACCGGTCCCTTCGGGTTTCCTCAGTTGGTGCAACAGGACTCGCAATCAGAAAATCCTGGTTCGAATCCCAGAATTCCAAGGACAGAATTCGGGTTTTGACGCAGCACCTGGTTGAAAATTAAACATCGCCTAGTCGTGCTCACGACTCCACAACATCTGACGACGGTCAGGGAGTTACCTGGCGGAAGCGTTGTATACCTATCAGCACAACAGGCGAGGAGGATGGTCTTAACAATAACAAGTATAACAATTAACAGAACATGTTTGTCATGTTAATACTCATGTATGTTATCACCAATCCCTCGACTCAATCCTTCCGTAATGCTGTAATCTGGCTTCAAAAATATTATTGCGTACGCTTTAACGAAGCGAGACTGGGAGGTGCAAAACACGTTTCATTTCACTACAATACGCACGCACGCACGCACGCACACGTACGCACTCACACGTGCCCACGCACGCACGCACGCACGCACGCACGCACGCACGCACGCACGCACGCACGCACGCACGCACGCACGCACGCACGCACGCACGCACGCACGCACGCACGCACACACACACACACACACACACACACACACACACACACACACACACACACACACACACTTTTCTTACCACTCGCTTTCTTACCACAAAGCGATGACACAAAGCCCACTAAAATTGCTACGCAGCGGGCATATACGACCGCACACAATCCACACTTTAAGTCCTCGCTTGACCCTGCCCCCTTTTATGAATACACGCGCAAGCTGGACCCTAGCGCGGGCCGTTGACGGCCATCCAGAAGCCGTTGAGTAGGGGACCTGCAGTCCCCGACGTCCGGACGGCTGGTGGCACGTGTCTTATTCGTGCACTCGTTCTGGTGGTGAAATTGAATCCTTGCGCTCGCTAACTAGATCACAGATGTGTTTGTTTCTGGCTACGTCGCTACCTAGAAATCCAATGTGGGTCGCACTGCGTCGTCCAGTTATTTTCACCAGTGATGCGACCCCTTTGTGTGACTGCCTTGCAGAAGTGAGCAAGGACCACGCTTCGGCGTAGTGTTTTGGTGTCACTGACACCCAAAGCATGGCGTATGCATATTACTATTAATTCACGTCATTTCTACTTCGAACTCGCTGATTAATGCGGCGTTGGTCCCGTGTGCATGTACAGCTTTGCCAGTCGGACGCGTTCGGCTGGATGAACCACGTGACCCATGGCATAGCTGGCGGTTTGTTTGCGTGCAGACGTGCCAGTGCGGCAGCCGGCCAAACAGACCGAGCGCGCACCGTCGGCCGAAGACACGGGCTGCCGAGACGACCACGGCCTGTAGCGCGCGACAGTTCCTTCCGAGTCGATCTCGGGCGGGCGGCGCGAGCTCGCTCTAGTGCGCGCCTCTCCTACGCGGGGCCCGTCGTGTGTGCACTGACGCCATCACTCGAGTGATGCCCGTTTGGCGCAGCATCCAAACTGAATCGCAGAATCGCAGCATCCAAACTGAATCGCAGAAGGGTCGCTGGCGGGGGCGGGCGGGGGCGGAGTTTCCCCGAGCCACGCTACAGGTGCTCTGGCTCCCCGCCAGCTGACCGCTGTCTGCCGGCTCGGCCAGACACAGCACACCCGGGTGGTTGAACTCGGCGGCGTTGAATCATGCGGCATCTCCTTGTGTTTCGTTCTGGTGCGCCCGCTGGTCGTCGGCGCGCTTCGTCCGTGTTTCGTCTGCTCAGAGCAAAGTACCGCCCTTGTTAGAAGGGATAGGTGTCACTTAAAGCTGTTTTATTTTGTAAGACGGTACTGTTAACATTCCTTGTCGGATATCCAGGAGAAACGAGATATACATGCATTGATATTTCGTCCACATGCCTGTCAGTCAGCTGTTCGCGGGCGTGAGGCCGCCCTCTGTTTGCTACCTGGGGGTCAGTTAGCTTCAGGCGGACGTAGCCAGCTGTCTGTGTCTGCTGTCTGCCTGCTGTCTTAGGGTCAATCGGCTGCGCGTGGATGTGGCCAGCTGTATGTGTCTGCCAGCTGTCTGCTGTCTTAGGGCCAATCAGCTGTTCGCGGGCGTGGGGCCGCCAATTGCCTATGTCTGCCGGCTGTCTGCCGTTTGAGGGCAGTTACCTGCACGTGAGCGTGGCTAGCTCTCTATGTCTGCGGGCTGTCTGCTGTCCGAGGGTTAGTCAGCTGTACGTGGGCGCGCGGCGGCCGGGTGGGCGTGCCGGCGGAGCTGTGCGGAGTCCAAGGTCCGGCCCGTGCCCGTTTGTACCGGTCTGATCCGGAATTGACGCCCACCCTCTCCCCATCATCTTCTTTCCGAAGTCCTGGGCGCGTTCTGGCTACAGTTTATCTCGAAGAGTTATCCGCAACGTCGGGAAATTTTCCGGAGTAATGTTCGGCACTGCCAACACGGAGAAATATCGCAGATAATGATCCGTGCAGGGCAAAAACCCTGGGTAATTTTAAGAACATATTAAGGCGGGGATTATTTTTCAACATGTCTATCTATGACCGCTGGCCATGTATAGTGCATGTGAGACAAAACTAGTGGATCATTTTCGAACCTGCCGAACGTGAAAGGAAAATCTGCGTGGATGATTATCGGAGAGATTAGCATTCGTTGAACAATCTTCCCTCGGCCGCGCGCGCTTTTGGTGTCCTCGGGAAGATCCTCGTCGGCTTTCTGACAATCAATGGAGGCTGACCGCGTGTCGACCCGCATACTCAACAGAAACGCTTCGTTCAGGCCTTGTCAAAGAAGGTCACTTATGCCTCGCGATTTTTGAGGGCTACTAATTTATGAAGCATGGCCATCGGATGTTTTCCACGACTTCTGTACGCGAGAGTAATGACTTGACTGGGTGAGCTGGGTATCCATGGCGGCCGTGCCCTCTGTGTCACACATTATGACATTGCTCTGAAAAGTTTTGGGAGTGGCAAACTGCATCTTTTGAATTATTGTGCATCGGGGATTCTTTTTTCGCCACGTCTGACTATGACCGGTTGGCTGTGTAAGGGTCTTCCTAATCAGGTAATGCCTAACATATCATTATCAGATAATTGTGGATGGTAACACTCCGGGAATATTTTATACCGATTTACGTTTTGCATGGCATGGTCTACAAAACCAAGCACCAGCAACGCACCAGCAACCAAAATGCCTTCAAAAACGAAACGTGGAGATGGTTTGAGACAGCATGCAGTCGTCACGCCTTGGAGTACTCAGGATTCTCGGTCGGAGGTCTGTGTGGCGATGGTTTGAGACATCATGCAGTCGTCAAGCCTTGGAGTACTCAGGATTCTCGGTTAGAGGTCTGTGTCGGTGTCCGATCCGTGGCAGCGCAGCTGGTGGCCGAACTCCGCCCCGGTGGTCCGTCGCCAGGCGCCCCCGGCCTCGCCCCTTCCGGCTTTCCCGCTCGCCGCTCGTCGCTGCGCGGTCGGTATAGTGGCCGCCGTCCACTCGAGCCGTATCTGCAACGGCAGCCGATAGTGACCGGTGGGGCGATAGGAGCGGCCTGCGGCGGCAGCACGTCAGTGTCCGCCGCGCCGCGCCACGATGGCCTCCTCCGCGTCGGCGCCGGTGGCCGTGCCGGGCCGCCGGACACGCACCACCTCCGAGGCGTCGCGCGAGGGCGGCACGCCGCGCTCCCGGCTACGCACCATCTCCGAACACCAGGTGGACGACGAGCCCGTGGAGCTGGAGCCGTTCCTGGCCGAGCACCGCAGTCCTGCCGTAGGTAGCCGGTTACGCTGCCCTCTGTAGGCAGCCCGGCCACGCTGCCCTCTGTAGGTAGCCCGGTCACGCTGTTCCGCCGTAGGTAGCCCGGCCACGCTGCCCTCTGTAGGTAGCCCGGTCACGCTGTTCCGCCGTAGGTAGCCCGGCCACGCTGCCCTCTGTAGGTAGCCCGGTCACGCTGTTCCGCCGTAGGTAGCCCGGCCACGCTGCCCTCTGTAGGCAGCCCGGCCACGCTGCCCTCTGTAGGTAGCCGGGTCACGCTGTCCCGCCGTAGGTAGCCCGGCCACGCTGCCCTCTGTAGGTAGCCCGGTCACGCTGTTCCGCCGTAGGTAGCCCGGCCACGCTGCCCTCTGTAGATAGCCCGGCCACGCTGTTCCGCCGTAGGTAGCTCGGTCACGCTGCCCTCTGTAGGTAGCCCGATTACGCCGTTCCCATGGGTAGCTGGGCTGCACCGTCATCCATGTGTAGCGCGGCTATGCTGTCCACCATGGGTAGCCGGACCACGCTGCCCCTAAAGGTTGCGGGGTCTTGCTGTCCTCCATGGATGGTGGTGTTATACTGTCCTCCGTGGGTAGCCGGGTCGCGCTCTCCTCCGTAGGCAGCCGGGTCACATTATCCTCCGTAAGTATCCGGGTCACAGGCAAGAAAGGTGCGAAAAACGGCAGATACTCCCATAAGATGTATGGCATATTTGACACGTGAGCTCCAGCCCTCAACATTATGTATTGGCGATTGACAGTCAAGGCAGCGAGCAGCGGCCACAGCATGTGTGACAATTTGCATTCATGATTGTTGTTCTATAGTTAGGTGGTCATAATAAGTGAGGATATTTTCTTGACATGCTGTTCATGTTCTGTGTTTTGTCATTGGCTTGAGTTCCTGGCCGATGTTGGCGGCAGATGGAGGATACAAAAGCTCAAGCCACATTTCTGACGATGTTTTGGACCTAGAGTTAGCTGGAGATCGTTTCATTCTTACTATTGAACGGTGTGAAATGGATGAGAAGCGTCAATGTAAAGCCATAATGTAATAATCACAATTTAATGGCAATGAGCCGTCAATGTAATACAAATACCGACAGCAGCTACCCGTTTGATGATGCCGATGATGATATCACGTTTAATGTGATAAGGTATATAGGTAGGGGGCTAGGTGTTTGCCTGCCTACCTACCTAAGTAGGTAAGATGCTATCAACTATCATCGTTAAATCCGGAAGGCAGCAGTGTTCCTCATCTCAGAACCGATGTTTTCACCTGACCACGATTCATATATGGTTTTTTGATGAGTATTAGTATCAGTAATAATCAAGAGTGAAATTAACAGTCCCACATAACTCATAACGATATGTGCCTAGGGCGGGCCTAGAATTTCACTAAGTTAAGGCTTCTGAACTTTTGAGGTCACATTATGGAATGAAACACGACAATATTTCATGAGGAGTCCTACCTGGACTGTGCTTTGTTCTGGAATTTTCGTATCACGTGAGCTCGTATGTTGAACAATGGCTTAGCTAGGGTTCGTTCGTAATTTACCTTTTGCATTTTGGCTATTGTGTAACTATGCCCTCCGGTTACGCACTGGTCAGAAAGAACGGCCTCTCACCGCTGGTGACGCTGTGTTTAGCTTAGTACCCTAAAGGGAAACATCCGTTTGTTCAGGCTTTGTTTTTTCAAAATATTTCTGAACGATTATAACGTGATTGTCGACGACATCCGACTCTAACACGGTGCGTTGTCGAACCCTCCAATCCAGCGCCCATTACCATTGGTAGCTACGGTTACACCCAATCAAAAGAACCTTGCCCGTTTATGCATTAAACAGTGTATGGGCGACCCGCAGTTATCGTTGAGTAAAATCGGGATATCGTGCAGCGGAGCATAACATTTTTTTAAAGACACCCCTGCCTGAAGTAGCATTATGGTGAAGTCGATGACGATTTGGAGCACTTGTTAACGGAATAGGACGATGTTTTTGATGTCTTGGTTCGCGATTACTGAGGTTGTCCCAGGCATAATTTCCGAATTATTCCCGATTTTAATGAAGTATGCTTTGACGTTCAGTGTCTTCAATACTTTTCCTATATGTAAGCAAATGCAAGTCAGCACTAAAGCGAGTCTACGACTTCCGATCAAACCAAGAACTACCGATTTTCCGATGGATGCCGTTGGTGAGTTGACTTGTGTACGCCTCGCAAGTAACCACTTCGTGAATTCGGTGACTCTTGGTTCGTGAACTCGCTTTATGATGCTATGTCCTGGCCATCTCGCGATCTGCGGCATGGTTGACTGCATGCTGCTAGTCAATGCCGAGTGAACGCCAAACGGGAAGAGCTGAACAACTTGTCAAAGCCTCATTTTAGTCGTTTAAATATGTTGAACAAGCGTCCTATCCTTACAACCCATGAGAAACCATGACACGTGTGCCACTTGTCTCGCGTGACAGCCTCGGCTCTATTAGTGGGCTTTCAGATGGAATGATGCGATAGAAACCTTTCATCTTATGTTAGGATGCCGGCCAAGCTGCTAGATACGGTGGCCTTTCGGCTTGACGCGGCGCTAGATTGGAGCAGAGCGAAGGCTCCGGTGCCGCACAGCGCCTGAAATAGAACCGTCACCGGGTTTAGCACCGCCATGTCGGCGGCAGGATCGCCCCGGCCGACCCGGCCGCCCCTCTGACGGCTGAGTGTAAGCGCGAGTCGTCCGTCCCCGAGCGCTTCCGCCGTCGAAGCCGCCAGCCGTGCCGTGCGAGGCGTGCGGGGCTCGGCCGGGCGCCGGCGCGTGCCGTGAGACCGAGCGTTGCCGGGCGCGGCCCGCCCGCCGCCGTGTCACCGGCGACCGTCGGAGCGCGTGCCGACGGCGGCGCCGGAGGTCACCGCCGCAGGCCACCGGCGGTGCACCATCCGCTGGCGGCGCCGCTGACAGTCGTCCGGCCGGGAAATCCGGTGCACCGTCCGCTGGTGGCACCGCTGACAGTCGTCCGGCCGGGAAGTCCGGTGCTGCAGACGGCCGCAGGAGCACAGCGCGCGCGCCACTTAACGCTGTCGTCTTTGGTTACGTTCTGGCTTTTGCTGGAGCTTTGTCGTCCGCTCTGCTGTCTTGCTGCGGTTGCCGTCTTGTTTCATCCGGCGGGGCTGTTTTCCCGTTCTTTTATTTTAATCGCGTGTTCATGCTGTGCTGTTTTACGCCCTTGCTTTAAGCTGTATCTTTCATTTGCCAGTGTTCTGAGCCGCGGTGAGAGGTGCCACTTGTCTCTGTTTCGCCCGTTCTGAGGCTCGCCTTCTTTCTGCAGGGCGAGAAAGGCATCGTGATCGGCATTCGCCACGATGAGAACTCCAACCCGTCGTCGCCGTCCTCGCCGATGGCGCCGCCCGGCGTCAGACAAGGTGGGGACCGAGCGGGCGTCGGCTCCGGGCAGCGAGCCCACGCCAGTGCCGCTTCTCGGGCGGGGGCCGCCTGCGCTGATGGGAAATCCGCGTGGCGTAAGCTTCGTTCTGGGTGCTGTGAAAACTATGTGAGACGAAATGATGTAGCGTAGGTGTTCCGGAGGTCGATTGTATGATCTTGCTTATGGAGCTTATTGCAGGAACGTCGCTTTAGCGCCGTAACGTTGCATTCGGCTGAGATGTAGGCCCTCCATTATGCCGCGGACCAGTGGAAATCTGTACAGCCGGGCTGTGGGAGGAGGGCGGGGGCGGGCGATGGTTTCAGCAGCCCAGGCCGGCTCGTTATCGAGAGATACTGCCGACCGGAACACGGCTGGGCTGGAGACCATCAGCTCAGGCCCTTGGGAATGATCGGATATGGAGCATACCCACCGTTCTCAGGATAGAACGACACCCTTTCGACGCCATGCATGGTGGCCTTTTCGTTATCTTTGTGGAACCGGCATGCGTGCAATTTTCGACCGAAGTATTCGACTGCAATCTGTCTTCGTGGTGTCGCTGATCGGTGCCGCTGTAGGGAACTCGCGCTCACGTGAGGCTCCACTGAGCGCGGATACCGGGGGGTCGCGCGCCGGCGCGCCGGCTGCCGCCCGTCCCCGCCGACCGCGGCGCCGGCCGCGGCGGCGTCCGTGTACACCCGATGACGGTCAGTGGTGTACACTGTACAGGCGCCGCGTGTCTGCCGGCACTCTCGGCCGGCGACTGCGGCCATTGTTGGCTTTAGCCGGCTGTTTTGCTGGCCGAGATGAATGAGACATCTGGGGCGGCGTAAACGGTGTCCGGCCGACAGGGACCAGGCCGCGGCGCCTGACACTGCGCGGCCCACGGGTGGGACGGCGCTGCAACAATGAACACTTAGCCACGAGCTGCCAAACAGCGGGCCGCGTTAACTGCGTGTCGTTGACGGCCGTGTCGGCACCTGTGTGGAGAGCGTTGCAGCTGACGACGGCTGGGAGGACCGCAGCGTTCGCCGGCCCTGTCTGGCCGCCCCGGCGAAGACGCTACCGGCGCGGTCAGCCCGTCGACAGGGCATGCGTGGACGGCGGACGGCGGCGGGCTCGCTCACGGGCACTCGTGCCGCATGCGGGAACGTGCCGGTGGCAGTAAGCTGTACACAACGGCATTGACACGGTCACTCGAGGTCAGGATATTATGTTGTAGGGCTACTCTCCGATGGTGTATTAATTCTCTGTTTGTTTGTTTGCCACTATGGCTGTTGGACCATACTCTCTTGATGATGATGATGACTTCATAGCATCACGGTTGCGGGGCAGTTTTCTTCAAAAGGATGCGCCTTCTTTGGACTTACGCCTGAAAGCTGCCTAAAACAAACCAGTGGGATTCAGACTTGGCTTGTTATGGCACCCCGGTTTTGGCTAGCCGGCAATGCGTAAAGGCGTTCACCGCGAGCGAACGGAGTTTGCCTCACTCGGCCCGAACTGCACATCTCCGAAGACAAGAGCATTTTCGTCAGAAAAATTTACACGCTAATCGATGCGCCAACACACTGAAGCTCTTGTATGTAAATGCGGCGTCGCAGATCATCGGAAATATGTAAACAGTGATTCATGTTAACGAGTGTGAGGGTACGCTCTGGTGAGTTGGCTCTACTCAAAGGGCCTTGCAAAAGGCCCCACATGACAGCATGCGTCTGTCTGCGGGACACAAGCGGGAGAAAGCTTACCTGGTTTTGAGATGAACGTTAGGTCATGATCATTTTTCACTGAGTTAGAGATCAAAATAAACCGATCGCGTTACTCCTGGTTAGCGCGGGCCAGATTTTGAACGTGGGTATCAATCGTAGATTACTTATGATGGTTTAATGACCCCATGTCACCGTCCAGTTGGATAACAACGTGTTGGAATATTCAAACAACCATGTACGAGCACGGGACGTGGACGTCACAAGCGGGCAGGGTATGCCGCATGTTTGTAAACAATGTCGGCCACGAAGTAAAAATCGTACATTTGATCGATGAGAGGGCAAACAGCTGCGTGTGGTGTGAGCTAAGGCCAGAAATGCGCGAACATCCTTCTGTCTTTACCCACCATCGACGTTGATTAATTTGCGTGCCTTTTCGAGTGGGGTTGTGACGAAATGAACCGTTGGTTAGATGTCGACAACAATTGGAGAGTGGGACACAGTTGGCCTCAACGCAGGCTTAGTTGCAATAATGCTGATCAATGGGGCGTGATGTTTTGCACCGCTTCGGAGAGGCACGTCCGCTTCCCCTCCCCTTCCGATATTCGCCTTTAACATTTGTCCAAAATGTGCAGCAGTTCTCAACAAGACAGCTTATGTGTTGTTCTATGCATGCGCACAGAGATGCACATAGTTCATACAAAGTCATGACGATTACAACATGAACGCTTTTCTGATCAAGGATCAAGTGTGGATACGACAGCATTGTAATGGCTGCAGGGACCTCAGTGGACGTAGGGCCCGGCTGTCCTTTTTCAAAGTCTTTCTTTTCCCGTTCCGCACTCCCACTCTTCAGTCATTCTCACAAAACACGAAGTCTTAGCCACGGAAAGTGGTGGCGCCTCTCCATGGAAGAAGAACATTGCTCGAAATTGCTCATTGTTGGCGGAGAGAACTACTTTACATGGGACAGCGAGATAGAGTTCACAGAAAAAGCGACAAGATGCTCGTACCGCTCCGTCTCCGCTGCACAGTGTGCGGAGATCTTGTGGCGGTGTGACACCGGGACGGGCTGAGGTCAAAAGGTCAGACATTAGGATCGAATGGCCCTTGATGTGACCTTTGAAAGACCTTTGATGTGGTCTTGGTAAAAACTGCCCAGCTAGCAATCAAGTTCAGAGCGACAAGCTACACTGCAGACGCAGTTTCTTCTAGATCCCAGATAACAGGGCATTGGTTTTCCTTTACAGCCGTCAAATTGGCTGTGAAATATATGCAACGTACAGACTGCTGGGTTCGAAGTGGACATTGTCAGAAGTAGATTCTGAGTGAAGTCAGTACCACGTATAATTCACCTGTGTATTATACGCGGTACTGTGCCGCGTATAATATGATGCACGTGCCAGATGACCTGTAACCCGCACCGAGCAGGTGTTTTACTTACATTTGTCAAACGATGAGGCCCGACGGATCCCCTCTTGTCTGGAAACCAAACACGCTGGAGCCTAGCGAAAAACGTCATAAGGTCGGCTACTCAAAAGTGTGCGAAATATTTCTGTCAGTGGGAGTGGATTTTGAAGAGTCAGACTAGCCCATCGAGGACGCATTACAGAATTAAGACATAGCAATGACTTCATAATTATGTCCTATAGTGGACAGCGTTAACACATGACAACATCTGAGGTTTTGTCTGCTCTCGTGCCTTTTGTATATGGGTTAGACACCTGAAGTGTATAACGTCCCAAACGTTCCTGTGGTCCGGACCCGCCGACCTCAGTGGTCATCACGCCCACGGTCCGGACCCGCCGACCTCAGTGGCCATCACGCCCATGGTCCGGACCCGCCGACCTCAGTGGTCATCACGCCCATGGTCCGGACCCGCCGACCTCAGTGGTCATCACGCCCATGGTCCGGACCTATCGACCTCAGTGGCCGTCACGCCCATGGTCCGGACCCGCCGACCTCAGTGGTCATCACGCCCATGGTCCGGACCCGCCGACCTCAGTGGTCATCACGCCCATGGTCCGGACCCGCCGACCTCAGTGGCCGTCACGCCCATGGTCCGGACCCGTCGACCTCAGTGGTCATCATGCCCATGGTCCGGACCCGCCGACCTCAGCGGTCATCACGCCCACGGTCGGGACCCGCCGACCTCAGTGGTCATCACGCCCATGGTCCGGACCCGCCGACCTCAGTGGTCATCACGCCCATGGTCCGGACCCGCCGACCTCAGTGGTCATCACGCCGATCGTCCGGACCCGCCGACCTCAGTGGTCATCACGCCCATGGTCCGGATCCGCCGACCTCAGCGGTCATCACGCCCATGGTCCGGACCCGCCGACCTCAGTGGTCATCACGCCCATGGTCCGGACCCGCCGACCTCATTGGTCATCACGCCCACGGTCGGGACCCGCCGACCTCAGTGGTCATCACGCCCATGGTCCGGACCCGCCGACCTCAGTGGTCATCACGCCCATGGTCCGGACCCGCCGACCTCAGTGGTCATCACGCCCATGGTCCGGACCCGCCGACCTCAGTGGTCATCACGCCCATGGTCGTGGCAGCGAGGAGAGCGGTGGCTGCATCGCTCTTGGCACGCTGAATGGTATGCGTATAGTGGCCGGTTTGTGGGTGCGACGAGCTACTCTCGTTATGCTAGGGCGGCATCAAAATGTGCTACGGTAGGATGCATCAAACAATTACAGGAAGTCCTTCCGAATGCATATTTTACGGATGGCGTGCGCCATCCACCCGCCCGACCGCGAAAGCAATCCACTTCACCTGCACAGAAGTCATCACTTCACTTGTGATCTATGAGTAGCGGGGACTTAGAGTTGTGACAAAAAGTGTGATAAAGCTTGAAACATGGATAAGACAGTAGTATTAGCCTTTTCCTCGGAAAAAAACAGGAGAAGTGAGATATAGTTAGGTTGATATTTCGGCAACATGCCTCTATCGAAACAATAGCAGAAGTGAAGACTTTTGCCACAGGAGTAGCATGAATAGCAGAAGTGAACACTTCTGCTATTGTTTCGATAAAGGCATGTTGCCGAAATTTCAACGTAGCTGCATCTCCATTTTCCTGTTTCTTTTTCCGAGGAATGAGGCTAATACTACCGTCTTATCTATATGAATAATGTTCCTCGCTAATACACTGATGAACTTACGTAATTTAGTGCTTGAAACCATGTTATTGAACATTTCAGCACCATGCCTTTGATGCTTTAAGAGCTATTCCTGAGAAACCTGGGCAGACTCGGAGCCCGTGGCCACCGTTCGGTGAGGGCTCAAACATGTCGAAGCGTTCCACCCTTTAGTTCTCCGCGAAATAACTCATATGGGCGTCTATATTGCTGCGGGTGATCCAAGGGGAAAATTAGGTAGTTTCTTGCTTTGTTGTTTGATGTCAAAATGCGTTCCTATCTGCTTAAGGGAGGGGGAGGGCAACTGCCATATACGGCCATTGTGGTATATCGCTTTTCTTAAGGTCGGAGGTCCGTTATGTAGCTCCCTCACACGTCAACAGGGCCGGCGCGACGCCTTGCATGGGCGTTTATGACGCCAATTGCTCACGTAGCATGGCAAGCGCGGTCAACCGGCCTAACGAGATACACTGCCGACGGCCAATAACCCAGCACTGGTCTTGATCCCTCCCATGGGTGTTCGCCAGACGCCGTCACGCAGCCAAGAAACAGGACAGTGTTAATGAGAGGCTGGCGACATCGCGATGTGCTCTGTTGCACCGCAGTGCCGCAGTTTCCGGCCGGTGGAGCGCCTGCTGGTCCCGGACGCCCGGCCCGGGCAGGACCGGTGAAGGGCTTGCTGGTCCCGGATGCTCGGCCTGGGCAAGACCGGTGGAGCGCCTGCTGGTCCCGGAATCCCGCCCTGGTCCTGCCGGGGCCGGGCGTCCGGCTGTCCCGTAGCCTCGCTCGGGTCCAGCGCAGCCGTCTGGCGGGCAGGCGGACCGCTGTGCGAGCTTCCCCGGCTGCAGGCAGCAGCGGCCCGGCGTCGGGGCCGCCCCGCTTGTTCGGCGTCAGCTGTTCGCTGGCGGCGCTATCGATTGCGCGTGGAAGCAGCCTAAGGCGGAGCGGCGCTATGGGAGCGGACCAGCCGACAAAGGCTCCGGGCTTGCCGCTAAGGCGAAGCGGCGCTAACAGAGCAGACCAGCCGACAAAGGCTCCAGGCCTGCCGGCTGGGCCTCGGTCCAAGCATGGTTGTTTGGATTTCTTCTTTCTTGGACAGGTTTTGCTTGGTTCATTCGCCTTTCATTCCTCATTCGCACCTCATGCTGAACCTCTGCAACATCCATCTCCCGGCACGCTGCATGCAGCAGCCGCGAACAGGTTTACGGCCCCCGCCCCCTCATGGTGGGGGTCCTGCCCGAACTCCCGCGGAAACCCGGAAGGGGTTCCTGCGCCGAGCGGTGTCGGTAGCAGGGAGCTGCCAGACGCATGTAGTTTGGTCTCACCACTCCCCACTTTCCTTCATCTAATAACCACACAAGGCTCATTGCCGGCTGAAAGTGCTTTTGCTTAAAATCGAGCTCAAGAAAAGCTGTACTCTTCTTTAGAAGGTTATGCCATGTTACGAACGAACCTGGCTGAAATGCCAGGAGCCCTGTAGCATACATCAAGCACACTATCATGGCTGAGGCGAAATATGATGGGCACCAAATGCTGTGAAACGAGGCGTCAAATAAGCGATGAGTGTCTCATAGCAAGGCGAAACTTATGTTGTTATATGCAGCTTGATGCACTCACAGATGACCCACCACCCTCAAACGGAAATGTGCCCGAAAGGGTTCTTTATGTCTGGTTCCCTGGGCAGAGTGGAGAATCGCGTCTTGGTACATTGCTTCCGTGAAGTAGAAAAATAATCCCGAATGTTGAGCGTGTGTCACCGATGATGACAAGTAGCCATTGAAGCCCGTTACATCTTGCTTGTTACCTGTTACGGCCTGTTACGGCTATTGACTTGCCGTGAACGACACCTGTGTCTCCAGATGTCGTCTGGGTCTCTCATTCCGGATAACATGTTGTTACGTAGTTTAAAAAGACGCTTTGTGGCTCCGGTACGGTGTGTTGGAGACGCCGTCGTCTCGCCCCGCCTGGGGCGCGGCACTCGTGTGGGCTCCGCTGTACGTGCCTGCCAGTCGCGCCGTTCGGAGGCGCCCGTAGCGCCGAGTCAGCCGGCGTCTCCTCTACTCGGGGACTTAAGGCGGCACTGTAACCTCTGCTTTACACACACACACACACGCACGCACGCACGCACGCACGCACGCACGCACGCACGCACGCACGCACGCACGCACGCACGCACGCACGCACGCACGCACGCACACACACACACACACACACACACACACACACACACACACACACACACACACACACACACACACACACACACACAGGAGTGCGCGCGGCCGTGCGGTCCTCTCCTGGGCAGCCAGGCGTCCCGTGCGTCAGTACCCCCCGCCCCCCTGACCTGTGCCCTCCTTCGTGGGCCGCAGGGGACAGTATCGCCGACGTGCACGTGGGCGAGCTGGACTTCACGGAAGTGCCGACCCCGCCGGACGGAGGCTACGGCTGGGTCATCGTCTTCGCCTCCTTCCTCTGCAACATGATCGTGGACGGCATCGCTTACAGCTTCGGTATCTTCATGCCGGCCTTCGTGGAGTACTTCGGCGAGGGTGTCGGCAAGGTGGCCTGGGTGGGCAGTCTGCTGAACGGCGTCTACCTCAGCGCTGGTGAGAGCGGGCAGAGCGATACCGCTCCGGTGGCTCTGGAGGAGTGTGAATCGTGTGCTCCGGTTTGCGGTCGTTTCAAATGTGTGTTCAGCAGGTTTTGATAGGTCGTGCGCCTGCGCAAAGTTATAACCAATCTGTATATGGCTCAATATAAGTGTAATTGTTTGTCAGATACTTTGATCATAAGCACAGCGAGACTCCGCACCGTCCACTATTCCAATCGCTAGCTGACTGAATGAAAGAGAGTGTGATCTCGATTATTTCAGCCGAGATGTTCGATTTTCAGTGCTTTGATAAACGTGCACGGCTGTCGGCCGGTGACCAGGAGTCCGTGTACCGACAGGTCCGATCGTCAGTGGGCTGACGAACGTGTACGGCTGTCGGCCGGTGACCAGGAGTCCGCGTGCCGGCAGGTCCGATCGTCAGTGAACTGACGAACGTGTACGGCTGTCGGCCGGTGACCAGGAGTCCGTGTGCCGACAGGTCCGATCGTCAGTGGACTGACGAACGTGTACGGCTGTCGGCCGATGACCAGGAGTCCGTGTACCGACAGGTCCGATCGTCAGCGGACTGACGAACGTGTACGGCTGTCGGCCGGTGACCAGGAGTCCGTGTACCGACAGGTCCGATCGTCAGTGGGCTGACGAACGTGTACGGCTGTCGGCCGGCGACCAGGAGTCCGTGTACCGGCAGGTCCGATCGTCAGTGGGCTGACAAACGTGTACGGCTGTCGGCCGGTGACCAGGAGTCCGTGTACCGACAGGTCCGATCGTCAGCGGACTGACGAACGTGTACGGCTGTCGGCCGGTGACCATCGCCGGCGGCATCATGGCCGGCACGGCGTTCCTCATCTCGACCACGGTCAGCAGCGTCTCCTGGCTGATGCTGGTGTACGGAGTCATCGGAGGTAGGTGACGGACGAGCGCGGTGGGCTGGACGGCTTCTTCAGCCGGCCCTGGTGGCCGGTGTGGTATCTGCTGGTGTGGCTCACAGCTGGGATGACTCGTTGGCTATCAGCGGGGCTGTTGCAAGCTCGGTGGTAGTCTAACCGCGTTTGCGTGAGTTTGATGGGTAAATCAGAATCGTTCCGGGTTTTGCCTGTGATGTTGACAAAAACGGCTTAAAGGCCTCGGCTGTGTCAGCATGGTGGCATCATGGTACATTTATTGGTCAGATGAAGGCCGTGAATGTGTCCCTAAGTTACACACGTGTAAATAATGTGTATTGGGTGCCATCTCCATCACAGCGAAACTGGTCTTTACGCGCTTCCGGTCACTTGCCCATCTTGTCCTATTCATCCAGGACGTGACTTGCCCCCTCCCCCACCCCTACCCTCCTGCTCTTCCTCCCTGTCCCTGTCTCCGCCCTTTCTTTCCCGATCTAGAAACGTTCGTTGTCTCCATCTCTGACCTCGGCCTCGCTCTCTGTCTCACCTTCTTTTTGTATCTCTCTGTCTTCGATTGGTCGCACATTCGCCCCATTCCACTGCACCGACACGTGGGGCTCAGTTCTTCACCTCGGCCGCCCGGGCGTCAACTGCACTATTCATCTCTGTGTTCAGCTGGGCGGCTTTGTTTGCACCCCTCTGCCCCTCCCCGTCCCGCCGCCGCCCGTGCCGTCAATATCTGGCGGGTGGTGAGCCGCGCCCGCCGCGCCAGGTCAGGCGGCGGCCGCGGCGGCCGAGGCCGTGGCCGGCCCGCCGGGCGGTGACGAGCTGTGCCGCAGCTGCGCGGCCACACTGACACCATCCCGCCGTAATTACTGCTGCGGACCTGCACGCCGCACAGCGGCAGCGCCGGGGCTGGGTCCCGGCCACTCACCTGTGGGTCCCCGCTCTGGGATCTGGGTCCTCCATCAGTCGGATCTGGGTCCTCCGTCAGTGGGGTCTGGTTCCTCCGTCAGGGGGATATGGGTCTCCCGTCAGTGGGAGGTGGGCTCCCCGGTCAGTTGGACATGGATCCCTGGTCAGCGGGATGTGATTCCCGTCAGTGGTATGCGAGTCTCCTCAGTGGGATGGAGGTCCCATCAGTTGGATATGGGTTCCCGTCAGTTGGCTGTGGGTCCCCGTCAGTGGAATGTGGGTCCTCTGTCAGATTAAAGTGTATCCCCCGTCAGTGGGATGTTCTCCTCCGCCAATGGGATGTGGGTCCCCACCACTAGGATGTAGGCTCCGCGTCAGTGGGATGTTGTCCTCCGTCGGTGGGATGTGGGTCCCCTGCCAGCGGGATGTGGGCCCACCATCATAAGGACGTGAGTCCCCCGCCAGTGGGATGTGGGTCCCCACCGGTAGCATGTGGGCCCCCCGTTAGCGAGATGTCCCGTTTCAGTTGGATGTGGGTCCCCGTCAGTGGGATGCTGTCCTCCGTCAGTAGGATGTGTCCTCGTTCAGTGGGATATGGGTCTCCGGCCAGTGGGATGTGGATCCCGTCAGCGGAATGGGAGTCTCGCCAGTGGGCTGTTTGGTCCCCTGTCGGTGGGATGTTTTCCTCTGCCAGTGGGATGCCGGTCCCCCGTTAGCGGGATGTGGGTCCCCGTCAGCGGGATGTTGTCCTCCGCCAGTGGGATGTGGGTCCCTCGTCAGTGCGATGTTTTCCTCTGCCAGTGGGATGTCGTTCCCCCGTCAGCGGGGTGTGGGTCCCCGTCAGTGGGATGTGCGTCCCCGGCGGCGGACGGGGTGTGGCTCGCTCAGTCGCCGGGATGCGGCCGGATCGCCCTGTTGACGGGCGCCGTGTTTTTGGCAGTGTGTGGGCGCGATGTGATTGGTGCTCAGGATGCAGCCAATCGTTGGGTTTGGGTCGCGGTCGCCCCGCCGACGGCCGGCCTCGCGCGGGGTTACTTGCGCATTCAGGCTGCTCAGCCGCGCCGGGGCTGTTATCACTATGCTGTTCACTGGTGCCTTCGTGATAACGCTAACCGTGACATTTCTGTCGTCACTTAGATTGGGTTTGAAGTTTCCTTACTTGGGATATGGTTGATAGCAAGCTGACAGGGATTTCTGCTTTTTACATCTTGCAATTTCGGGCTCGCGGAATGTTTGTAATGATGACATATTGTCCCCCAAAGTGGCGCCGGCTGTGCAGTTGCCCTGTGCTGTACGCGGATGAACCTGCTTAATTTTACACATGGTGTCCTAGGCTACCGTTGCCATTCTACTGTAGACTACCCAGGGCATCAGCATCAGCATGGAGTAGCTCTTCGGCACCGTGAAGCTTTTTCGTCGGTGCCGTCACAGGGTTGGCACTTGTTGAATCATCCAGGTACTCTCCACCTTGTCGATGAAGAAGGATAGGAACGTTAGGGGTTGTCTCGTTTGCTGGCACGATGGCTGAATCTTTGTTGTTTTTCGCTTGGTTTTTGTTCGAGTGGTGGAAACACGCTAGCCTGACTTGGAAGCTCCCTGTTTTAAGCTGATGACCTATGCCTGAGCCTCCGCGTGGTGTGGCTTCCGGCGTCGTCAGTGGAATCCTGGCTAACGGCCGCCCGCTCCGATGTCCCGAGGTCGCTCTCGAGCGCCTCGGGCCAGGCGCGGCCGGGACGTGTCAGCCCGTCCCACCTGGTCACTGACCTCGGGTCCAGTGAGGCCGGGCGAGCCCCCTTCCCCGCCCACACCCTCCCCGTGAGCAGGAGCACCGGGCGACAGCGCCCTTTGTGCCGGCGCCGCCCGGCCGGCTGTGACTTTGTCCGCGGCTCGCGAGCGACGGTGTGGTGCGGCCCGGTGATACGCGCTCCGTCGGGGGGCGGTGCAGGGGGGACTGGGACAGCCGACGGTCAAGGCCGGCCGCTATCGATCGGCCACCCTTCGCCGGGCCGCTCGACAGCTGCCCTCCAAAGATAGTTGCCTGATTGATATGGACGGACGTCCCGCGCGCCGCCGCCGCTGCCTCGCCGACGGTCGCGGCGCGGTGTGGTGATGGCGTGCGGGGGGTGGGTGGGTGTCGCCTGCAGCCGCCCGGCCAACGGTCCTCCCACAGGGCCTCCCACCGGTCCTCCCACCGGGCCTGGTATCGGCCGCGCGCTGACCGGTGCCCGGGGACGGGCAGCGGCAGGTCGGGAGGTCTGGCGCAGAATGCCGCTGGGTCGGCGGGATGAGATCGGACGGTGGACGAGGATGGCGCCGCGGGCAGCGTGACGCTCCCGGCGGCGTCGACTGGGGTTTAATCACTACGGCAAACAACGCAGTGTTTCTTGTGCAGTCAGCCACAGAAAGGGGATCACTTCACATGCTGCAGTTTTGTTGTCGCGAAGCAACAACAAGCCTGTAACGTAGGTCCATAAATGATTATATATATATATATATATATATATATATATATATATATATATATATATGATACATTTGTTGTTTTCTTCCTCACTGTCTACAGAACGAGTAAGTTGATGGGGATCAGGATTCGATGGATTTGACCCACGTGCCCGCCAGTCTTGACTTACTGCGGCGCATGAGGAATTCCAGTCATTGTGCTGATAGTTGACCGTCGCGTTAAACTGAGACCTCGTAACGTGACGTTGATGAGTCGCCTCTCCACCCACCGTTGTAATGGCTCAGAGTGATGTCTGTGGCCTAACGTTATGTACACCTCCCTGCTTATTTTATGTTGCCCTAGAGACGTTCGCCAAGCGAACCAGTGACAAGATATTGCAATAGCATATTTAGATCGGTACCCATCTACGTGCAGTATGGTATCATTTTCGCGATCATGATCTCGATACGAGACAAAGCGTCCACAAATAGCATGCATACTTATCCGTGTCCAAAGTTAGCGCTACGTGTCACCTAAAGTCACGTGCAGAGCAGCTGACAGCTGCTGATGACTCTTTGTTTCATGATAAAACCCAGCGTGATCATCAGCGATATACGCTGTTTATCGCGCTGGTAGGCTGCCACGGCAGATAAGCACCGTTTCGGGGCGTGGGGCATGGTACGATACTCATGGGATGCAGCGTTGGTGGGGTGGGCACGACCGAAGCTGGGCTGGATGTGTAAGGCAGCGGCACCAGCTGACGACCGCCCCTCGTGCTCCAGGTCTGGGCTTCGGCCTGATCTACCTACCGGCGATCGTCACCGTCAACTACTACTTCGAGTCGCGCCGCGCGCTGGCCACCGGCATCGCCGTGTGTGGGTCTGGCGTCGGCACGTTCGTCTTCGCCCCCTTCGCCTCCTACATGCTGGGCCAGTATGGATGGAAGGGTGCCAACATGATCCTGGCTGGCATCATCTTCAACGCCGTGGTGCGTTCCATTGGGTGGTTTACGCGATGGGACGGGCCGGTGTGCGTTGCGGCCGTGCATTTGAGATTTGCGAAGACCTTGGCGTTGTGTCATGACTCCTTATCACTGCGAGGTCATGGTGGTTTCGAAGGCAAGTCAGCACGCCCATTCCAGGTGCGTGGGGCGCGGGGCTGCACCTCTCCACTGACACCGCCCGGTCCTGACTCGACCCATGCCGCCAGGTGTGCGGGGCGCTGATGCGTCCGCTCGTCTACAAGAAGCCCAAGGCGAGCCAGAAGCCGCTGCTGCAGAAGATGGCCGAGGACAAACAGCGCCAGTTGAAGCGTGGTTCCAACGTCTCCGACAGCTTCTTTTTCGTCCAGCTGCCGGACGGCACGCTCGAGCGCCGGCCCAAGTGGAAGATGAACGCCGACCCGGGCGTGCACTCGTCGCTGGCGCTCAACGAGTTCGGCTCGCCGTCGGCGGCGCTGCCGACGATCGCGGAGGCGGCGCGCACGGGCGGCTCCAGCTCACCCGAGGAGGGCGCCGCCGAGTCGCGGCCGTCCCAGCCGCCGCCGCCGCCGCCGCCCGGCTCGCTGGCGCCCGCCGCCGACCGCAACGGCCATTGTCTGCCGGCTGACGCCAAGGACGGCCCGGCGGCCGGCGAGGAGCAGCAAGCCGAGAAACCGGCTCAGGAGGACCCCGGCGACGGCGGCGACGCGCCTGCCCGCAAGGATGGCCCCAAAGCCAACGCCAAGGAAGGCGACAACGACTCGGAGAAGGCCAGCGACGAGGAAAAGAACGACGTGGTGCCCGAGCTGCCGGGCGAGGACCTCGAGCTGGGCCGGCGCGGCAGCAAGAAGGAGGTGCGCACTCGTGCCGTCAAACGACGCAGCAGCGTGCCCAAGGGCGAGCCGCCCGCCGCCACCAACGGCGCCGCCATGCCCAAGAACGTGTCGACACCGTCGTTCGGCCAGCAGCAGCGGCGCGGCTCGGGCGCGCGCGCGGCCGGCCTGCGCCTGAGCGCCTCGGGCAACAGCCTGAACCCGGACCTGCGCCGCTTCTCGTTCCACAACCGGCGCGGCACGGGCCCCAGCCAGGAGGACCTCTGGCTGTGCAGCAACACGAGCGTGAGCGCGGCCGGCTCGCGCGGCTCGCTGCCGCGCCCCGGCGAGATGCTGCGCCCTATGAGTCGGCGCGACATCTTCTACAGCGGCAGCATCGCGCACCTGGCGCAGTACCAGAGCCAGCGCAGCCTGGCCTCGTACCGCGCCTCGGTGCTCTCGCTGCCCCGGGACGGATACGCCGACCAGCAGCACGACCCCAGTGAGAGACGCACCGGCAGCGCTCGGCTGGCTGGGCTTCACGCTGTGGAACCGCTGGGGGAGGGGGCATATTCATGTCGGTAAAATTCGGGTCATGGTGGACATATCAGTATCTTCTGTAACGGATTTATCCTGGTGTTCGTTTTTGTATTGCTTGCGTTGAATTCACTAGTCACAACATATTTTGCCCCCCCCCCCCCTCCCTCTCTGAAAAGGATTCCCTGTCTCTGCTTTTGGAGTGTCACTACTGCTATCGGATTACCATTCTATTGTTACCCTGTTATGTAATGCATGGATCCAGCCATTCACAGCAAAGGAAAGGCTGGATTTACGTGCTAATCACGGCTTACAATAGTAAAGCCTATAAGTGTAAAGACTATACATGTATCATGATCTGTCTTTATTCTGTAACTGCGGCCCCTATCACCACTCAATCAGTGTGGTCCGCTATGTCGTGGCGGCGGCCGTTCTCGGCCGGACCCCGTTCCTATGACGCGTCGGTGTGCCGCCCCGGCAGACTCCTGGGCGTGCGTGCTGCCGGCCGGCTGCGGCGTGCTGGCTGAGATGATCGACATGAGCCTCCTGCGCAACCCGCTCTTCATCCTCATCTGCGCCAGCAACGTCTTCGGCATGCTGGGCTTCTACGTGCCGTTCGTGTACATCGTGGACTCGGCCATGATGAAGGTGCGGGCGACGGGCCGGGGCGGCGCCGTCGCCAGCCGCGCGGCCGGCCAGTCTGTGGGCACCGGCGGTGTGCTCGGACGGATGACCCTGACGCCGGCCCTGAGAGTGTCGGGCTCAGCCAGCCGCGTCATGCCGGCGCTGTGTGTAGCTGGCGGTCCGGGTGATTGCCCGGTCCAGACCCGCCACCGGGGCAGGAACCCGTGTCGCCGGTGCCGTCCGTCCCACCTCCCTCCCGACGGGGTCTCGTGCCGCCGGTACCGTCCGTCCTACCTCCCTCCGGACGGGATCTCGTGCCGCCGGTGTCGTCCGTCCCACCTCCCTCCCGACGGGATCTCGTGCCGCCGGTGTCGTCCGTCCCACCTCCCTCCCGACGGGATCTCGTGCCGCCGGTGCCGTCCGTCCCACCTCCCTCCCGACAGGATCTCGTGCTGCCGGTGTCGTCCGTCCCACTTCCCTCCCGACGGGATCTCGTGCCGCCGGTGCCGTCCGTCCCACCTCCCTCCCGACGGGATCTCGTGCCGCCGGTGCCGTCCGTCCCACCTCCCTCCCGACGGGATCTCGCGCCACCGGTATCGTCCGTCCCACCTCCCGACGGGATCTCGTGCGGCCGGTACCGTCCGTCCCACCTCCCGACGGGATCTCGTGCCGCCGGTGCCGTCCGTCCCACCTCCCTCCCGACGGGATTTTGTGCCGCCGGTGCCATCCGTCCCACCTCCCGTCGGGATCTCGTGCCACCGGTGCCGTCCGTCCCACCTCCCGACGGGATCTCGTGCGGCCGGTGCCGTCCGTCCCACCTCCCGACGGGATCTCGTGCCACCGGTACCGTCCGTCCCACCTCCCTCCCGACGGAGGCCCGTGCCACCGGTGCCGTCCGTCCCACCTCCCGACGGGATCTCGTGCCGCCGGTGTCGTCCGTCTCACCTCCCGACGGGGTCCCGTGCCACCGGTACCGTCCGTCCCACCTCCCGACGGGATCTCGTGCCACCGGTACCGTCCGTCCCACCTCCCGCCCGACGGGATCTCGTGCCACCGGTATCGTCCGTCCCACCTCCCTCCCGACGGAGGCCCGTGCCACCGGTGCCGTCCGTCCCACCTCCCGACGGGATCTCGTGCGGCCGGTACCTTCCGTCCCACCTCCCTCCCGACGGGATCTCATGCCGCCGGTGTCGTCCGTCCCACCTCCCTCCCGACGGGATCTCGTGCCGCCGATGCCGTCCGTCCCACCTCCCTCCCGACGGGATCTCGTGCCGCCGGTGCCGTCCGTTCCACCTCTCGACGGGCCCCATACCGCCGGTGTCGTTTGTCCCCTCTCGTTAGCCTGACTGCTGCCGGACAGGGCGTGGAGCCGGACTCGGCGGCTTTCCTGCTGTCGGTGATCGGCATCACCAACACGCTGGGCCGCGTCATCTCCGGCTTCATCACCGACTTCCCACGCGTCGACGCGCTCTTCGTCAACAACGTCTGCCTGATGCTCAGCGGCGTCTGCATCTTCCTGATCCCCTTCTGCTCCAGCTATGCGAGCTTCGTTGTCGTCTGCGTGGCTTTCGGGTTCTTTGTCGGTGAGTGGATTCGATCCCAGTGGCCGATGGCTCTGGGGTACGGTTCATTAGACGGATGTCGACAGATTGTATTGCATGCGTTGCTGACTGCGTTATACTGTTACTGGCATTGTAGTCACTGGCGGCATTGGCAGCAGTCCTATGAATAATTTGCGAACGCGACTTCTGATGGCTAATGGGATTCGGCCTATGTAGTAGAGCTCATCTGGTCTCGGTTGGCATTTGCTCTGTATCTTGATAGTTCTTAACATGGTAATGTTCATGGACCAAAGGTGGTGATGATCCATGAGATATCACATGAGGCCTGTTCCATTGACGTTGGTGTACGCTGTGCATGTTTCCTGTCCTTGCTTATATTGAGAGGCGCACATCAGGCTCACCTAGTTTCTGTTTTCTCAATGTATGCTTTGCGGTTCTAACTGGTCACAACACCACAATGTAAAACGTATAGAGCCGCCCGAAAAAGGTGCTAAGAATCTGACCAGTCAGCACGTTTGTTAGTCGCTGTGTGTCAGTGTCCACCCATCTTATTGAGATGCTCAAAATAGCTAGACGACAATCATGCAAGGACGAATTGTAGAATTCCAACCAGTTTGCATGCCGCGTAGTCCAGGCTCTTACCTAGCACAATACGTCCAGGGTTTTGCGTCGCCCCCTGCCGTGCCTTCTGTACGAAATCCCGTCTCGCGGCTGTGCGTCGTTGCTGTGAGTACCGCAGCGACTGGCTGCGGCTGGCTTGGCGTGCGATGACACGGCCTGCTCGGTCTGGGCCGGTGTGGTCGGCGCCGGCCCGGCGGCGGGCGCGGTACCAGTGTCTGTGTGCGCGCTGTTCCAGCCTCCTTCATATCGCTGACTTGTGTCATACTGGTCGACCTGCTGGGCCTGGATAAGCTCGTCAACGCGTTCGGCCTGGTGTGCATCTGTCGCGGCCTCTCTGCCATTGTAGGGACGCCGCTTGCAGGTGACGTCCCGGCGGCGCTCGGCCGCACCCGCGCGCCCCGCTGCGGCACGCTGCCCCCGCACCGGGGCGCGCTTGGCCGCACCCGCGCGCCTCGGTGCGGCGCACCGCCCCACACCGCACCACACCGCCACCACCTGCCCCACACTCCGCCCCGGCACGTTTACAGGAGGCGCGCCGCCGCCGTCGCCGCCGGGTACGGTACGATTGACCCGCCTCTGTTGCAGCCGGATACATCTCGCTCACCTGTATCGTGCTGGTTGACTTGCTGGGTATTGACAAGCTGTCGAACTCGTTCGGCCTGCTGATCCTGTTCCGTGGTACAGCGAGTATGGTTGGCCCGCCCGTGGCAGGTACGTGGACCGGCCAGGGACTCCCCGCCCGCCCCTGGGTGTGCCTAGTGCCCGTAGTCAGCTGACTGATCCGTGCGTTGTGAGCCCGCCGCGCCGTGTACGTGTACACCTCAGGTGTTGCACTGCGAACACCTCTGGTGGTAGTGAATGGGGAAACCCCAATGTCCTTGGAGTACGTGTGCGTAGATGAACTGTGTTGTAGCATCTAGGTGCATGCAGTATCCCAGGAATGGAATGTGTTCTTAAGTCACGGTACTAGCAAAGCATGCGATCCCAAAAGTATATGCTGATTTGGTTTTCGTTCACCGTGGGCTGGGTAATTGTTTTTCATAAGCGCATTCTGAGCTATGAAAAATAAAGATATAGTATGCAGCTGCACGTATGTAGTCTGGTATCCTCGTTTTGTAAAATGCTAAGCTTCTTGTGTTTCGCTCGTGCGTGCCAAAGGGTTCGTAAGGCTTTCTCTGTCAAGCATTGGTAAAAGCATGAACTGCGGGATTTCTGCGCATCGTAGTGGTCCAATGAAATAATTTTCGAAACCGATGTTGCGTTCTCCAAATCATGTATCTGTAGGAGTAATGATTGTTTATTCGAACATAGACGTTTGAACACAATTAGTTTTATTTGCACGGCATAATGTGCTGCTATGGGTGCAGGCTGCTTACGCCGGCCATATTGTGTTTATCACCTTAAAAATAGCACTGAATAATCCAGTCGTATAGCTAAGGCTGAGTGCTTCTCCATTGTTAATGAGTTCGACATGATTAATGGCATGTTTCTGAGCAAGCGAGTGTCCTTGTCTTTGATAATTTCAGACACCTGTAGATTTCGTTTGATAGACCTTGTGGTACCAACTTTAAGCTCGTTCTTGTATGGCTGATGTGTTTAAATAGAACCGTTTTCGGATAGCGTTATCGATGAGCCGAGGCACCACTGTACTAGTCCTGTATCACATGCAGTTTTGCATGTGCAGACTGACCGCGAGAAACGGTTGCGACGTACATGAAACCATTGCAAATTTACCGAAACTTTGTAATTGTGTACGTGTGGGAACTACCATGTTTTATTTCAGCTTTTATGCTGCATTGTGAAGTAAAACAACCTGTGTTACGAATATCTTGAAACCCGTTGGTGATGTGAGGTGTGATGCCAGTGCGCCATCCTCTCCCGCACTGTCTGTGACGTCTGCATGGCGCGGCGCGTGCTGTGTGCATGTGCGTGCGTGTGTGCGTGCGTGCGTGCGTGTGTGCGTGCGTGCGTGCGTGCGTGTGTGCGTGCGTGCGTGCGTGCGTGCGTGCGTGCGCGCGTGCGGCCTCATCTCGCTGGGATGACACCGAGGAGAGATGCGGGGTCCTGGGAGGGCCCCAGGTAAAGACGCCGGGTCCTTGGGAGGAGACGCGGGGTCCTGCGAGAGCCCCTGGGAGAGATCCTGAGTCCTGGGAGGGTTTCAGGGAGAGACGCCGGGCTCTGGGAGGGCCCCGTGGAGAGACGCCCGGTCCCGGGAGGGTACCGATTCGGAGTGCAGCAGAGCAGGCTGTCGCCGGCGGTGAGTTAAGCGGTACTCTGGTCAGTTTTTCAGCCTGTGGGGCGCGGCGCGGTGGGGCGCAGGCGCCGCCTGTCCGCCGGAGCAGGGTAAGCGGCCCCGCCCCTCCCCCTTCCCCACCACCACGCCTGAGCAATGCCACTCACACCAACGCTCCGCCCAGTCCAGTCACTGACCCCAACTGCCACAAGCTTTCCGGCTATGGCAGCGAGCTGGTGCTTCTCACTCTTGGCTGTGGGATTTTATACCACAATTGCATTCTGTATAATGCTTGTAAATGTGGAACTTATAGCTATCCGCGACTGCCTCACAAGCGCCTAGTTTCTACCCGCACAATGTCGCTGCCCTACAGGCGCGCTGGCTGGCAGCTTAGTACGGAAATAGTGTGCGGTTTTGTCACTAACATTTCCTAGAACCACGTTTTGTTGGCTTTAGATTGGACTTGCCTGTTATACCCTGCGTTCGTTTATTTCCAACTGTGGCCAGTTTCATAAAGCGAATAACTTTTTACAGTTTTGGTGAGCGCAGTTGGGACGGACAGATAAAAAACTCTGAAATTTTGTGCCTTCTTGTTCGTCTAAGATTTAGCAAGTATGATCGTTGTAAAAATTTCCCCCTTGTCCTTTGCTAAGACAGTGTGATCTAATGCATGACACTGCAGTTTCGCTTTATGAAACCCACCATTATCGGTCGGATTGTCTGATTTCCCCGTGGAACTCCGCTATTTCAACTATGTTTACCACCTTGACTGCACGTGCCTTTGTTTTCACGTGTCCCTCTGTTTGCGTAGTTCATATTGTCGTGTTAGCTCGTGGATGCGTGTCGATTGTTTGAAGCCTGGCATCGTTGTGCTCCCCGCCACTGGACCCCCGGCTCGGTGTTACCATAGCCACCTGCTACACGTCAGGCTGTCTGGGGGTCGTGGTATGGTGCCTGCGAGCTGCTCGGAGGATGCCGCTGGGAGCGCCCCGTCCGGGGCACGTGCTGCACCATGCTCTCTGGGTCGGACCGTATCAGGGGGTGCTGCTGCTTGTGGGCTATGTTCGTGCTGGAGCTACTGCGCTGCTACGATTGCTTACCTGTTCCCGAGCTGATGCGAGCTTTCGATGTAGATGGGGGAAAAGCTCTATGGAGAGCTTCGCCACAAACCCGTCGCGGAATTTGATTAGGATAACCCGCTCACGTTTAACACCTATTAGATAGAGCCCGCCTCCGACAGACCGGACACGGTGGATAAGGACTCACTAACCAATCTAGATTATGATAGCAAGGGAAACAACGAATGTCGCACTGGTTAGGCTCAGTGTTCTACTAATGCCGGGGTGGCACCCTATTGTAGCGCGCCTCTGGCGGGGTGCCGGGAGGTTTTCCAGCTCAGGAGCCTGTCGACAGGTCGTCCTGTAGAAGGGTTGCCTGGCTGAAGGGGCGCGGCGGTGGTTTGCATTTCGGCACGGAATGGTATCTGGAGGGCCGTGGTGACGGTTTGTAGCTCGGCATTGAATGAAATTCGGGACGGTGCGGCGGTGGTCGGTAGCTCTGCATTGAATGGAACCTAGAGGGCCGCGGCGGTAGTCTGTATCTCAGCACTGAATAAAATCTGGAGCGACGCGGCTTTGGTCTGTAGCTCGGCATTGAATGAAATTCGGAGCGGCGCGGCGGTGGTCTGTAGCTCGGCATTGAATGGAACCTAGAGAACCGCGGCGATGGTCTGTAGCTCGGCATTGAATGGAACCTAGAGGGTCGCGGCGGGGGTCTGTAGCTCGGCATTGAATGGAACCTAGAGGGCCGCGGCGATGGTCTGTAGCTCGGCATTGAATAGATTCGGAACGGTGCGGTGGTGGCCTAGCTCGGCAATGAATGTTGTCGCGTTGGTCTCTGTCTGCCTGTTTGCCATCCGTATCCAATCATCCACAACCTGTCCGACCCAGAACTGTTTCACCTTGTACTAGATCCTGCCCGACCTCATCGAGTTCGTTTGGTGGTTCTTCGCTCTTTAGCTCTCTACGCGCCTTATTTGAAGTGATTTGAACCTTTGTCCCGACCATGGGTCCTGGCCCTTCTGCGGAGCCTGGGATGCGTGTGGTCTGTCGGTGACGTTTCGGTGGCCCCTACTCTGCGTCCTCGCGGGTCCCCTGACCGGCGCCGCCCCTCCTGACCTGTGGTGCCCCAGCTTGTGATGGATTGTCCGCCGCTCTGACCCGGTCCTGTCCGCGACAGGCGCCCTGTTCGACTACACGGGCGACTACGACGTGTCGTTCTACGCGGCCGGCGGCCTGCTGCTGCTCGCCAGCGGTATCAGCTGCCTGGTGCCGGTGGCGCGGCGCGTGCTGGAGCGGCGCGGCGGCGGCGGTGGCGGTGGCACCGGCGCCGCCGTCGGCGGCAGCCCCAGCTCGCCCGCCTTGCCGGAGGTCATCGTCAGCGACGAGAACGACGGTTCGCCAGAGGACGCCGTCTGAGTGAGAGACACTGGAGGCCACGCCGCGCGTGAAGGGCGCGGTCGACTAGCGGACAGTATTCGAGGGCAGCCCGAGCCGAGCACGCGTCGGAGGGCGGCCTCAGGGGCCAAACGTCGTGGGACCCTGGCGGAGCGAGCCGCACAGGAGCCCCGCGCCAATCAGGACGTGCGTGTGCCGGCGGCTGGGCGCGCTCGTGGTCTGCGCGCGCGCCACGTGTGGATGTCGCTGGTAAGGCGGGCGTCGCGAGCGGGGGTGGCCGCGGAGCGGTCCGCTCCTGTGTCGGACGCATCTGAGGCGCGCTGGCTGTCAGTGCCGACGCCGCTTGTGGGCGTGCTCCCAATGTCAGTGGACGCCTAGGAAGATGGCGGGGGGGGGGGGGGGGATAGAGCCGTGAGATGCAGCAGAGCTTTGCGGGGCCTACGGCCCCCCGCTGGCTGGTCAGCGAGGTGTTGACTGAGGGTGCGAAGGGGATTGGCTGGGATGAATGAGGGCGTGCCGCCCGGCCGCGTGCCACGTGGAGGTGATGCAACTGTGATACTCGGTCCTCCCCATCCGAGGGCATTTGTCGAGACAGCGTCTGGACACGCCCCCAGTCGCAGGCCCCGACAGACGTCCATAGCTGAGCAGGGCTGCGGCGGCGGGCGCCGCAACCGTCAGAAGTGCGCCGCCCTCGACGCAGCTGCATCCGCTCGCCGTGGGCGCGGCGCAGAGCCGAAATCGCAGTCCCCGGGCACGCGCCTAATCGTAGACTCACTGTGTTAGGCATTGATTGTGAAGCTGCGATTTGTGGCCCTCAAATCGTCGCGCCGCGCTGTGTGCCGTGCAGCACGCTAGCCGAAGTGGATGAATGTCCAGACGCGTGCGCGATTTGAGTGCCGCGGGATGTTGTGTGTCCGGAAGCCTGTGGTATTTGTCGTGTGTCCAGAAGCGAATGGTGTTTGTATCATGGCGCACCTCCAATCGCTTTTAATATAAACATGTGGAAGATGACATGCCTATGCTGCTCACAGTCGGATGGGCGATTGACCTGGAGGCCCCTGCTCCTGCCAAGGCACTGGGACGATCTCCATAGTACGGCTTCTGAGCCGCCACCGGTGTCATTACTGGAGGAGCATGGCTATGGTGGCCGTCCAGCTTAGAATGTCACACCACTTAGCCGCTAGGCTCCCGCGATACCCAGCAGACGATATTTGCTAATTTTCCCAGCAAAAAAGAATGCCCTTCCTGCGCCAGTAACGCGAAAGCCATCAGGACTTGTTCAATTGTTCAGATCACTTGTGCTCGCCTTGTGCTTACTTGTGATTACAGTGCTCGCCCTTCCTGCCAGGGTGGGAGGCAGGCGACGCCATATAGCCTCAGCAGCTGAGTGCGTCGTAAAGCCCCAATGACACACACACAGATCCCTTGTGATGAATGCGACCGCCGTGGCCAGGTGGTAACAGTGCATGTCCTTTTGATGGCGGTCGGTTTGGTGAAATTTTAATCGTGCGAAATCGGTCCAGAGTGCGATGTGTGATTGCCGCATGGCTTCGTCCCTTCGCGGCTCACGTATCACGTTCTCTTGGGCTTTTCACGCAAAAATTGGTGCTCGCGTTTTCCAAACGCAGACCAAAAGTCCTTTGCTCAGCAGACTGTGCTGCTTTCAGTTTCACTACCAAAGTTCGTTCTAAGAGCTCAGCAAGCATTAGTGTAATCTGTCATTTTTCCTCTGGTGCTCATTTACCTTCATGTCACGTACGCTCCAGTTGCAAGTCGGCATCATATTTGAAAATATCCATCGATATTTTCTATCGCTGCCATGGTGTTGATAGAGATGCACGGGAAGACAACTGGCCACGCAGCAGTCTTCGTTGATGGTGCACACCTGGTGCAGTCTTAGTGGGATGTATTTATCATGGAATATCACTGCTATATGAGCCGAGACGACATCCTCGCCCAGCATTCACCACGTTGGCGCGGAATCACGTGATGGAAGAGGGCACGCTGGTGACCGTCGGGATTAAACAGCAGCCCGCAACCCCAGACAGATAGAAAGCTTGTAATGAAAATATCCGATATTCATTGTACCACCATTGTACCACGAGGCACTCATTAAGATCATGTTGTGCGAAAGCATGTGTGAAATTAAACATAAAGCACTCCCCGTGAGTAATGTGATAAAATCTCTACCACTATTTTCTCAAATACAGTTAGGCAGACGCCCTCATGTTGGGAATGCTTGTTTTCATCGCCTGTTTAAACGATGGACGTGGACGGGCAGAGGACGCCGTTCCAAACCGTTGTGCCTCTGAACGAGAAGTGACGCTCCCCTGCTTCAGTTCGGACGCGTGTCAAACGGATTGGCCCTCGCTGCCACGTGTCAATGTCGCTCACGACGCGGGCTGATCGAGAGAGCGCTGCCAGCTGAGCTGGCTCTCCAGTGGCCATGCTATTTTATTTCCTTATGCATGCTCTGTACTGAATGAGTTTACTCATGCTCAGCCAGCCCAACTGCCTCCGGGTGGCACTGGCATGCCCGTCCTTATGAAATTCTGCTATCACTCTGGCCGAAAGTACTTTTCAAATGCAGCACCTATGCAGCGGCGTCTACAGTACCTTCAGCAGTGATGCAGTAAAGCACATGCGCTATCGCTAACGATTGCATCGTTTCGCGCACAATAATGTTGGGCATTAGATTACGACGATTAACCATCGCAACTAGGATCCGTATGCACTTCTGCATAATTGCACGACTGATTTCCCATAAGATCCTGTCTGGAGTAATTCAAAGACGGGGTATTTGGGTGTTTTCGGGGTATTTGGGTATTTGAGTATTTGGGTGCAAAAACCTGATTGTTTTTCACAAAGAAAAACCCCAGGTATTTGCATCTTCTTTGCTGTGCTAACGAATCGATGACCCACGCGAGCCTACACGGCGGAGACCTCCGATGCGCTGAGCTTTTCCTAAGAGCTGACTTTTTCCTGATTATTGGATAGGCTCTTTTGCATTCCGGTGTTTGCGAACCTTAAACTGAATAATTCAAAGGCTCCCTCCATGACAAGCCTGGTTACATTCCGTGGGCCTCGTCTCACAAATAGTTGAAAATCATTCACGTGCTATATAAGCTTTGTGACAATGGCAGACGATTACGCTCGTTTTTGAAGGTACTTCACACAATGATATTCATTGATAAGCCCTAGAACACACTGCAGCCTATGGGCACCGGAAAGAGCGCGGTGTCTCGAATTTTAACCTGTTACGTGCTGGAAATGACCCTTGACGCAATACTGTACTGATGGTGTAACGCGACATGGCATCTCAGTGCTATCAGCCACCAGTAGTGGCAGATAGTCACATATCTCTGATAGGTCAACCAAGCACATCAGCCTATCTAACCGACATCCACCGATCGAATGCACTACCTGACATGCTCATCAGGGGTGTCACGTTTTCGACTTTGGCTGGGCGGCGCAGCCAATAAGGTTTACTTGACCTTCCCCAAACCAGATTTACTCCGCATTTCGGCCACTTAAACTTGTGTTCTCGATATCAAGGACTGTATTGTTTTTCAAACATCTTCCGAGGCAAGGTGGCTTTACGGAAGAATGATTGCTGAACCGTGTGAAGTGGCACTGAGCTCGTACGTCCCCAGTGAACATGAGGATAACTTGGACAGCGTGCTAGAAGGCTGACAACCGGACGGGTTATCGGAATGCCCATCTTGTCGTTCACTCTGGGACGAGTCCCACGAAATGGGTTAGTCGTCCTCCCCGACGCCTTTTTTGTGACGCAGTCAGGTGCGAGATATACCGCGGAACTGTAATCGAAACCCGCGGTCACCATCACACCGCGCTATGTGTTAACCCCCCTCCCCCATGACCCCCAATGAGTACTATGAGAGCAGTCCGTATACCACAGCTGCGGAGGGCGATGGGCAAGTCTTCTGATCCCCAGTCGTGTAAGTGCATCGTGCCAAAATATGTCATCGCTCCCGTGAGAATGGTTGCCCGGAATACCGAGCGAGGTCCACCGCCTGTGCGGCACATTCTCGATTTAAAGACAAGGGCGTATGCTCATAGTAGCCCCAGTGGTTCAAACTAACGTGGTTTTGAGCCCCATTATTCAATGTTCTGCTCGGACAGGGAAACCTCACCGTTCGGGTAGGGGTAGCTTCGGGGGGTTTGAACACTGGATGAGGCCAGCGGCCCATCCAAACGAATACAAATAGACTCATTCATAAAAACACAAATGTAGTTGTAATTTGTCAAGTATATTTGACATATTTTTAACATACAAGTATTTGCATGTGCGTCATTGGCGAACATCTGTTTTTAGCAGCGATTTTCGGCACGGGGTCTGAGTAAGTCACTTTCGGAACAGAAGAGACGAAAAAGAAAAGATGAAACCCCACAGCAAGCCGCTGGCAGCGATGGACCAGGGTCACGCCAGGGTCACAGTGCAGTACATACTGATTACTTCCCTCCAGACAGAAACCCTAGTATGAAAGCAATGTTCGTGGGGGGACCAACGGTCATAGGTCACCTATGCCGGCCGCTGCACTGCCACGGCTGCACGTTCTCCTAGACGCCAGACCAAAAAAGGGACGAGAGCGGGCCCCATGTGTCGCAATCATACTTAAGCCGGAGAAAAAGCTGGCAAACGGCCTGACGTTGGGCTTAGGGCAGGTTCAGATGCACACCTGCGGAGCACCCCGATGCCTCCCTCCCGCCATATCGCGCGACACACCTACCAGAGCTATCACCTCAGTCGTTGTAATTTATATTCTGCTTGCGCTCGTAATTATATTGTTCGTAATAATATCGTAATTACGTAATTATATTATTTATATATGACATAATTACACATTCGTTCGATCATCAGTGTCGTATTCATTTCATCGCAACGATGTGGCGTGACGCATAGCACTGGCTTGCAATGGCACGCTGAATGTTAGATGATTCTATTTCCGAGCTAAAGTGGCTACCGTCAGCATAACATGTGAAAGATTAGGGAGCAATCACTTCAATCACTTGCTCTGCAGAACATTTAACGTGATTGTTTGTTTGGAATATCACATAAGAGGACGCTTTTGGGGAAAATGGCTTTAAATGAATGTAAGTGATGGCGCGATGGTTTAAACGTTACCCCTTTTTGCGGACCGTTTCGACCCATACATGCATGGATATCCTTGCTCGAGGCTTGCCTTGACTATGTAGAGCCCCAGTACGACGAAGAAATTAAATGAAGGGATATTTGTCATGTCTGTTACATTGCTCACACTTCTCCGTCCATTTCATCTCCCGCGGCATCACTCATACACTAGATGCCCTGCGGGTTGGTGATAATGCTCGCTCGCTTTTCGTAAATATTGCCTATATATATATATACATATATATATATATATATATATATATATATATATATATATATATATATATATATATATACATATATATATATATATATATATATATATATATATGTATATATATTTATATATATATGCATATATATATATATGCATATATATATATATATACATATTTATTTATTTGTATACATACATATATTATATATATATATATATATATATATATATATTATATATATATATATGTATATATATATATATATATATATATATATATATATATATATATATATATATATATATATATATATATATATATATATATATATATATATATATATATATATATATATATATATGCATGTGTTTTATGTATATATTCGGTTCTACACCAAATATAAGCTGTGTGTCTCCCCACCCTAGATATCTTGGAAACTCGTTTTCCAACATCGATGAACAAAACACCATTTGATTTGTTCCAACGAGTTTTCATTCCAAGGTGGAAGTCTGGAGTGCCTGTGGGGAATGTTTCTCTTCATAAAGCCTGACACAATAAGCGCATGGTGGACGCATTAAGTGTAACAGTGTACTCACCATTTCGCCGAAGATATTGATATGCAACACGCATGCTCTAAATAACCATACGAATAAATCCGCGATCTTTAATTCACTCCAAAAACACGTCAGTGTGGCGCGCTAACTTATGCTTCTCACCCTGTAAGCACAGAAAAATAGCTCCCAAAACGATGATCTGGAACCGCCCCTGCCAAGAAGATTTGTTTCGTATTCCAACACAGCGTCCCTTCAACATATCCATCCTATGAAAGTCTCAAAAAATTCGTGGCGCTGCAGCGAACCGTTGATAAACGAGCAAAAATCATCACAGAGCAGATAATGTGCACACTCTTCCCACCCAGAGAATAAGGTTGCAGCACAACTCTATGTTATGTTAAGGGAAATCTTTAACAAAATTAAGCGTCTACTAAGACGTTCAGCTGGTGCCTACTGCCTACTGACAGTACGTCCACGCTTGTTATTTCACGCGAGTCCGTCTAAAAATACCGGAGCGTGCTGGGCGGCAGCAAAAGATGCTCGTACCGCACGTGCTAGAGCATGGGCATGCGAGCCCCGTCAGCAGACCCCATACACAGGCCACCGCAGTCGGCCAGCGGGCTCCAAATGACGAACCAAAGCAACACACGCACGGTCAGATTATCCGGACTTCACCCGACGCCCCAGAGCGCTGCGGCGAGCGTAAGCAGAAGCGTAAGTGCGCAAACGGTCCGTGAGGTGGCGCCGTTGCAGCCATCGTAGTTGCAGGTCAGCACACAGCCATGGAGAGTCTCGTTGGCGAACTTGAAAGCCCCACACTGCGACTCCATGTTCTTCAGCACGCAGTTGCGAATGACGAGGACCTCCCCGGTCCGCGCTGAAAACCAGCACGGCGATGCAAAACTACGAAACGTCATCGCCTCTGAGCGATAGCAGTACGGCACCGTCATAAACTGACACATTTACAGCAGCAAGTACCACATTTTAAGCTGGCTCAGTGCGGCCTGATTTTCCTGTGACAAGTTACACTCGTCGTTGCTTTAAACATTGTTCTCAGCGCTGCAAACGTCGAGCGTTGCAAATACACTCGCGATCGATGAGCACGGCCGACGGGACGATTATCTGATCTCGCGGTGTCGCAATGCCCGGGATCCCACAGCCTTTCAGGGTTCCACACAAGCCCCACCCGAGCTTGAATCCATGCCTGCATGCCCCGACGTTGAACAGCGCCCCACTCACTTGACGTGCCGGTCAGCTTTACGCAGAAGTTGGCTGGGAACTCGCCCACGTGCTTCTGCTTCGGCACCTTGCAGGCGCGCACGTACGTGGACATGGCCGGGGAGAATGGGTCGTGGCAGGCCGGGTTCGTACCGTTTCGGGACGAGCACTTGTAGCAGTTGATCTCACCCCGGGCTGCGGCGGGAGCACGCCACGTTACGCCACGGTCAGTTGATCTCACCCGGGCTGTGACCGGAGCACGCCACGGTACGCCACGGTCAGTTGATCTCACCCGGGCTGTGACCGGAGCACGCCACGTTACGCCACGGTCAGTTGATCTCACCCGGGCTGGCCGGAGCACGCCACGTTACGCCACGGTCAGTTGATCTCAGCTGGGCCGCGGCCGGCGCACGCCACGTTACGCCACGGCCTGCACCGGTGCACCACAGCAAAGCTGGTGCGCGCCAGAATACTCATGCCCGTGCGTTTGGAGGATTTCTTCAGTTTTTGTTCAAGACTCGATTTTTTCCACTTCATTTTGGTTCTGCCACGTTTATCTACAGTTTCGACAATGGATTGCCAAACAGGGATTTTAACACTACTTGAAATCCAGGGTCACGCGTTTTCTGAAAATCGTTTTGCAATGGCTTCATCCACACGAAAACATAAGCTAAATGTATAGGCGTAAGAAGGTTTCAAGAAGTGCTTTGAGCAGAGTCAGGATATACATTAAGAAACTTAGCTGGGAATCAAGCCCAGTGACCATGGCGGGGAGGGGATGGAATAGAGCCGGCGTACATTGTCTGCCCTTAATAAAGTGGCACATTTCGGTAGTAACTAAATGTCACGCTTGCTATGCTAGATGTAGATATACATTTTCCACTGGTGCACAATCTTGCCTTTTTGACTCATCCATGATATTCGGCAAATAAGACTCACCACTTTCCTAAGATTATTCGTCCATTATTCGACCGTTCCCTGAGAGGGCGAAATTCAGCGAGTGGGTAGGCACTTTGAGTCATTGGGTGGACGTCTGCCTCAACTGGGTAGATATCAAAATACAGCCTGGACATAAGCTGGTCAGAACTTTAAACGACATTTCTTTATTTACGCTGATTCAGATAATTTTGAATCAGTTGCCCAAAGTGCACCAAAATTTTCATGCACCTAGACTTCACCGGATGCTTTTCAAGGGATATGACCTGTCGCAACAATTTAGGCGGCAACAACGTGACGTAAACGTCAGGGGGCGTGTGTGTCATGTCATTGACACTGGAAATTATGAATAGGATTTCATTGAGCCGGGCATAATTATCCTGTTGCTAATCCGCATTATAAGTTGGACTCGAAAGCAATGTATCGATCACGAAATTCGGAAGTGATGGTTACATGAGGAGTACGTTGGTCAAGCAGAGTCACAAATTATTGAACCTTAATGCCAATGTGTAGCGGCCATTCTGGCTGTTCAAGATTCTGATTTTGAAGGAAATAAACATTCTCTTGCTGTTGTCAGTCTATTGGGGATAAGCTAAAGATACATCTTACATACTTATAGCAACCTAACGGGCGCGTGAGACCAAAACGTCTATGTATGAGCTGATGAGCCCATACATAGATGGGCTCTTGTGCTAACATGGGCTCTTACGCCCATGTCTGCCGATAATGGTAACTTTGCAGATGGAGGAGGCTGGACTTAGGACTTTCAGAGCAGAAGTGATTACGTTGAAAGGCTGATCACATTAAAGAGGGAGGGAACATCCGGCATAGAAGCTCTCATCGTACAGGGTCAGTGCCCATAGGACTTTATGGAAGGTGCGACTCATAGTCGTCACAGGTTCCTCAGAAAGACGTTTGCGAAAGATGTACTCGGCTAAGACGGCATAAATCCCAGCCAGGAAATCGGTTTGTGGTTGGCATTAGAGAAGGCAGGCTCTCCTTAGAGGCAGGACGCTACCTGGGCGATACTAAGCATGAAGAGCCACTCCCGGCCACAGGACAGCAGCGTGTTAGCTGAGCGCTGACGTCATGCTCTTTATCAGCTGAAGCTCGCATAAACGGCCCGGTGGCCCCCATAAAACAGGGACGGTGCGCACCAGAACTTGTGAAAGGTGCGACTCGGCGCAGTCGTCCCACGCTTCTCGTAAAGATGTTTACGAAAGATGTGCTCGGCGAAAACGGCATAAAATCCCGGGCCAGGAAATACCTTTGAGAAGGGGCAAGGGCGCTATCTGGAGGACACTAAAGATGAGAGCCCTCTGCATCGGCAGAAAGGACGTCCAGTTATTCGCTTTGACCCCTCACCCGAAGAAACCGAGCGCCTCGCGTAAAAGAGCCTGACGTGCCGAGATGAAGAGGCGTGAACATTGCAAACGTGTGTTCAGGGTTCCTAAAACTCTAAATTTGGCAGCATATTAGGCAGCAGTATTCCACGCCAACCATGTGTGCCACTGGGGAGCATAAGTAAGGCAAAATTCGGGGCTTAAGTTGATAAGCGATACGACGAACGAATGCAGCGTATGATGCGGCGGGGTAGAGCAGACGTGGAATTGCATTGAAGTTGAAAGGTTATAAGGACCTGTGGAAGCAACGGCAGCTCATCTTAGGGGAGGGATGGACGAATTTAAGTCGCATTTAAAGTCAGCTTATGTTGCAAACCAAAAACAGATTGGGGGAGTAGGCAAGATGCTCGACAGAGCGTTCTTAACCCAAGTCGTGTCAAACGGGTGTAGCAGGGAAAGAACCTTTTCACGGACTCTATGTCTCTAACCTTAACCAGAGCAGTGAAATGGTCCTAACTCCATCCAGGGCAGTGAGATATCTATGTGTCTCACACGGAAGTGGCGAGCATGACACTTGTATACAGCCTGGAAGGAGCACACGGTGCAGCACATTACTGAGTGAGGCTTTTTTTTTGCAAGACGGCCGGGTTGCCTGAACATATGACTAGCATCGAATGAAACGGATATGAGCATAACGAACCTAGTTAGTGTCCTAAAACTACCTTCAGTGGTCTTCCAAGCCACTAGAGCTCTTGCAAGAGGATTCTAGAAAATGTCGCAAAAGTTGCAGGATGTTGCAACAGCAGTTATTGCTTAACAAATCAATATAGCGCCCTAAAACTACCTACAGTGTTCTTGCCGTGCATAAAAGATCCTAAGGACAAATTTTCTAAAGTGCTGCAAAAAGTTGTAGGAGGTTGCAAGACTGATATACTGCAAAACAAAGCGGCATAGCACTCCAGGACCACTTTCATTCTTGTTGAAGAACCCGAGAGACCCTAAGAGGCCATATAGGAAATGTTGCAAAATTGCACGAATCATTGCACGAATCATTGTAAACCACGGCGTGCAGCCCTCTGCAACGTTACACATGCAACGCGTATCCGAGGGTGCTTAAACTAGGTTCATAAACTGCTCGTCGCATTATAAGTGATGCCTAAAGTCGAAGCGTTCACTTAAATCACCTCACTTGTTCAGGTGAACAAGGAAAGCTGTAATCGATAAACCAATGCAAATTGTCTTCAGACATGTCAAGAATAAATGCCGTGAGAGGCACTCACAAACCACAAACGAATTGCAACCCAAAAAGGTTTTTTGGTGTCTTCTTACTCATCATATCTTGATTAGGTATGCATTAACAGGTCCTTAAAAAAGGATAAAAAGCTATCGTTAAAAAGTGTGGGGCATTTAAGTCTAACAAACGGTCACCAGGCACCTTTTTTCTCAAGGAATACCCAGCGTGATGAGGCTTGAAATGGAAGAATAAATCATGTCCTGAACGCAGTGATGATATCTGTCCAAAAGAAAAGCACATGGAGCAAGACCGTGACGTAGTCAGATGCACCGCTTATGGCCTGAAGCTTTGTCCACGCCTCCGATGAAAGCTACTTTTAAACTGCGTCAGACACATATACAAATGCGTACATGTGAACAAAAGCTCATGCCCGAGAAACTACAAGCACTGAACGGCAAAATTACAAGGTACAAGACACTCACCGAATGAAAGCGATACAGACAACAGCAGCAGCAGCGTCAGACACGTGACACCTTCCTGTGTCATGGCGGTCACGCCAAGAGCAGACGGTCAGCCAGGCAGCGCACCCCACCTGCGGATGTGGTGAGAGGCGTTAGCATATGCCGCGAGCCGCAAGGAATAGACACACTGAAATGAACAGGGAATGAAATTAAGCGGAGTTCGGCCAGGACTGGAACAACACCCACCCACACCCACACCCACGCCCACCCACACGCACACACGCACACACACATACACACACACACACACACACACACACACACACACACACACACACACACACACACACACACACACACACACACACACACACACACACACACACATATATATATATATATATATATATATATATATATATATATATATATATATATATATATATATATATATATATGTATATATATATGTATAGATATAGATGTAGATATATATATGTATATATATATATATATATATATATATATATATATATACATACATATATATATATATATGTATATATATATATATATATATGTATAGATATAGATATAGATATATATATATATATACATTGTATATATAATATATACATTATATATATATATATATATATATATATATATATATATATATATATATATATATATGCGTACATACAGACAAATAATGGACCATAGCACAACAGATCAGGAAAGTCGGTTACACATAAGCACATAACAGGAAGCACGTGCGCAAAAAGTCATATTCACTTGACAAGGTACACAATCGGCCCAGATAACCCCGTATCTGGGGCATTATCAGCCATTATCGGGGCCGCTGCAACAAAGACGCACCAGCCCAGGGCACGGCAGGTCGCCGACTGGAGGTCTCGGCCCGGTGCAGAGGCCCGGTGCAGAGGTCTTGCTGGGTGCACGGGTCGGACCGGCGCCGCTGGCTGGTGAGCGCCGACCCTTGCCACGACTCTGTCTGATCGGGCTGAGCCATCGCCCCGGCGCGCGGCCACGGACCGAGTCGATGCCCGCACGTGGGAACCGACACGTGCAGGTGAGCCGGCACGCAGCGACCTTAATGGACAGTAAACGGCCTGGTGCCGGTCACCACCAGTCACCAAACCTGCGTTCCAACAAACGGTTCGGTTGGCGTGTGTACTGAACTGAACCTGCGCGGGCGGGAAGTATGGTTAACAGCGAAGCAATTATTTTCCGGCGCCGCACGATGGCTTAACATGGGTACTTTGCGTTGGAAAATAATGGAATGCTTCTTGAGCCGCGTTTTTAGGACGTCAGCTATTTGGATGTACCCAACACCTCCGTAAAAAGCACACTCGTTTTGCAGTATGCATGAATCAATAAAGCCTAGAATAGATATAGGTATGAGGTGCATCTCAACGAACTTCGTGTATTTCTTACGGCTACTGAACATCATGTACTGGCTTCGACCTTCGTTACAAACGTAAATGTTTACCTTGTCCATCAGCCAGTAGCGCTCAGGGTTTGTTTATTAACCCAGTCGCTGATCTCGAATACTCCTGACGGCAATGCACAGCACAGCAAATGCAGACATTGATAGCGAAATCAAAAGACATGTGTAACGAGAAACAAAAACCAAACCTCCAACAAAGTGGTCAAAAACATGACTAACTGCTTGACTCTGCTTTTGCAATCACAAGTCTCCATCTTAAAAAGTAGATGAACGCATCGTTCATGAACCATCCAAGGAAGTGAATGTGACGTGCACCAACACGGCAGAACAACTTCAACTCACCATCTATTGCAAGAACAGAACAAACGGTTCGGAAACGGAAAAATGGTTCAGCAAGAAATGCAGCTATTGACACAAACCTTTCGATTTCCTACCTAGCATTAATTCTTCACACTTTTGCAGCATAAAATATCATTGTTTTATGTCAATCTTTGACCAAAAAATGGCGTTTTACTCATGTCACTACATGCCACACACTGTGATTTGTATGAATAGACCAAACATTCAGGAAGACACCAAAGAGGAGGATCTCAGTAAAATACATAGCATTAGATATCAAATGGTGGGAAATTGCATGATGTTCACGACTGCCATGTCATATTTAAGGCATGTTAAATTCCCTTATGATTCTGAATGGATTCTGAAGGCCACATCACTCTACAAGACCTTGCAGCACGCTAACATTTGTTGCAACGTTTCACAAAACCAGAAAGTCAATGTAACTTAAAAACTCTGATCAAATACAATATGATAGGGTTCAAATCGACATCTCTATTTACATACGATATGCAAAGGTTCACTCAGTATAGTAGGGTTCAAGTCGACATATCTATTTTACATGCAATATGACAGGGCTCACACAATATGATGGAGTTTAAGTCGACATCTCTATTTTACAGCGTTACATGATTGTAAATGCAATGGCCCTCACGGTTTGACGCGGCCGGCTGAGCTTGACACTCGGTCGACTGCTAAAACAACCAGAATGCACACTGAAGAACAATTACAGCGCATTCTGCTGCTAAAAAGTAATCTGGGAACATACGTTATGTGAGTGATTTCATTATTCCATACGATGAACGTCTCCGGCTTGACCTTGGCCGAACCGCCATTGGTTTCGAAAGTGACCTAGATGCACAATTGAGGGCAAGCGTGTAGTTCCGTAAAATGAGTTTAGGAGAGAGATGGCGGGGGTGGGGTGGGAAGTGAAAATTAAACCAACTTTTCCACGAAATATGTCAATAAGCGGGGTTTTCCCATGATTTGGCCAACTTTTCTTCTCAAATTTGGAATGCTGGAGCTCTCATCTCCCAATCCCAACTAAAGTTGAGAACATTTACACCGTATAACGCTTGCAAAAACAGTCCAAAGGTATGCGTTCACGATGAAACTGAATTGACCTCATGATGCACTGCTATGGTTTGACCTTGATCTTGACTTGGTATCGGTATGCAACTTACACGGTATTCTAACACCGTTTAAGAGAGTGCTTTTTGGCAGAATAAACCCCGTCTTTCTGTTCAAGTGGGCTCAATAACCCATGATGTGAAAAGAGCTATATTGGCTTTTGACCTATCTTTGACCTATTATTTCAACATGAGAACAAAATAAAGTTAAATCAAAATAAAGTGCCCCCGAACCGTCTTCTGAGGGGCTTTCCAATGCCATGTAACTCGTTAAAATTGGAAGATTGGTTCCGGAGGACAAAAGTGACAGAGCCTTTCCCCCACTCCACCCCAATCGGGCATGATCGTTTGCCGACCCCATCGACGCAAAGGATAACTTTCGGCTGCTAGGAACCAATCCACTGGAACATTTCTATCACGTCATGTTCACCCCAAGTCTGTCGTTTCAGCATGATGTAGTGGCCACACGTATTCCTATAAGCATATGCGTTTAGTGCTACATCATCAGTATTGCATGTTTCTCCAGGAAAAATGAGCCTGGGCTATCCAGTTCATCTCGAACACGACACGTTATGTTCTGCTATGCTGACTCACTTTCATTCACGTTGCATTTCCCGCGAAGGCCTTCTTCTCCGGCGGCGTGCTTACTTTATACAAACTGTATGCACACAAATGTACTTTGATGGCACACGCAGTCTGACTGAGCTTCCGGGAAAAATGGAGAAGAGGCCACATGAAAGCTGAATGGTTACAAAACCCTGTGTGATGCGCTCCCCTCACGTGTAGGAGGCCGCTATGGGGCTTCAACCCTATCACTTCAAAACTGCTCGAAGTCCTCTACTTTACGCGGACTGATTCCAGCAATAATAATAATACGGAGTTCCGCCAGCGTCCTGGATGTGGACATCATATTGTGCATGTACTGTGATTGTCTGAAATGTCAAGACTCGCCACATGCTCATGCAAATATTGAGCATCCTCCTCCTTTTACTCCATGCAAAGACATCATAGGCGGAAGCCACTGTTAGGTCCTGCTGTTTCATGGGTCGGGGAACAGGGGTACACTTGTTTTTCTGGTACACTTATTCCTCCCCCTGCTTGTTTAATAGCTTCACGTTAAGACAAGCATCACCATTTAAAAACACAATAACCCTTCGTTCTTGCTTTTTCAGATATTGCAACTTTGTTACAATTTGCTGCTGTTTAAGCTTCTGCAGCGCTCCTGTTGTGTGTACACTAAATAATGCGGATAATATAGTCAATACGCATTCTATGTGATGGCAATGGTTAAGCATGTACATCACTCCATACACACAACAAATGAATCGATGTGGTTGGGTTCCGACCAGAATGGTGGTCCGTGCACTCTTGCACTGGATCCCCATTGGGTGAATCAGAGTGGGCCGCGGGTCGAGATGGCAGCGAAAAGTTGCATTTCTGGTCAGGACATCCGTTGATTTTCCAGCATCATGCCGAGCCTACGGCGCGTACTAGATATTTTGGGCACATAAAAGACCCTGGATCCCTCCTATGCAGTGATGCACGCGTTAGGCGTATGCAGGTGTGTCATTGTTGCAAACCCAGCTAGCTCTACATTAACAGGCTGCGCTGTGTACTCACCTAGTGGACGAGGACCTCACATTCCATAAAACGCTAAAACGTGGCCTTAGTGCAAATTCTTCACATGCAACCCCAAAAAGCCTGATTCCCTGCCAACCGCATGCCAAAAATATCCTGCCCAATGAATAGACAGCATTTCCGCCACTCGCCGACGCGCCCCGGTTGCGCTCATCGTCCCCGACGATGGTCTAGATCGGAAGTCGCCGGTCTAGGTCGCAAACGGCCTAGACCAGCTCGGCCCCCGGCCGCCGAGGACACACACACACACACACACACACACACACACACACAACACACACACACACACAACACACACACACACACACACACACACACACACACACACACACACACACACACACACACACACATTGCCGGGCGTGACGCCGGAGCCGGACGGAGGGCGGCGCTCACCAGCGAGGTCCGTGCGGTGCGGGTGCGGCCGGGGTGCGGTGCAGCTGCTGACAGTCGGCAGCGGCCGGGCTGCGCGCCGTCGGCGGCCGCCGCGTCGCCTCGGACGCTCTCCGGACCGGCATTGATCGGCGCCCAGCCTCCGTCGCCATCGGATATCCGACGCCGCCAGACGGCTCGCCGCCGGCCGCTAGAGGCGTGCACGCGCCCAGCGTGACGGGTGACGCGCTCGGGAGAGACCTCTTTACGGGGATCGGGTATTCCGTCATTTGCCTCATCCTTAGTGTTGCTCACATCAAGCCAAAATTAAGACCATCGAGGGCGCTTTCGACTACTAGCCACCACCCCCTGGACAGAGTAGCTTTAACTACTGGTCCCGTTTTACTCATCAATGGTCAATGGCTGCTGCAGATCAGGTTGAATGGTGCTGGTAAAGTTGGTTGAATGATGGCATTCAAGGTTGTAACCAACAGGTTGGATCTACAGCTGTTGCTCTGGGCGATGCGTTTCCGAATGACTGAATTTGCTGTTTTCGGCGATGCTTTTCCGACGCACTGCACAAGGCTGTTACGAGTCGCTCAGGCACAGATGCTTGCAGGCCATGTGTTATCAAAATAACTGGGATCACGAGGTCGCATTGAACGTGCTGGTCTTCAAAAGTCGCTGAGAAGGCCTCAGGTCCGATCAGGGCCACCTCAGACAATGTAGGTCTTTATGTCAATCAGAGACCACCAACATCGGACAGAAGACTCCTCGTCGGTCGGGGCCCAAGTGACCCATTTCTCAGGGAGGGACGGGGCCGCGGACCGCGAATCGTATTGGTCATGACCCTGAAACAATGAGGGGCCTTGTATCGGTGAGGAGCGCGCACTACCTATCAGGAAGTCCTGCGTTTGCAAGGGTCCCCGAGTTGGTCAGCGGCACATATGCCCAACAGGAATTGGGACGGAAACCTGAATGCCAGAGGGCTTCTTGCCTTGGATGGAGGCAACTGCCAATGAAATGACATA